ATGGCAGTCCCATGGGTCGTGCCTGGGTTTCCAACATGTTGCACATGCTACGCATGTTGTTGTGCGATCGAATATGTTTCACCCAGTGTTTTTCAGTGAGCCTTCAGCATGCAGCTGTTGGCCTATAAGAAAATCTAAGAACTCGCACATTGCATCCTGGCCTTCGGGAATGCATGTGTTTCTTTAAACCATAGTATGGATTAGTATGGCTTAGTACCGGCTCATTACGGGCTACATATTATGTTCTCAGGAGTGTTCTCAGGACACAATGTTTTTGAAGGAACATCGAAATTGGGGGTTGCGTACGGGTGACATGCTTTGCAGGGGAAATCATTACGATGTCCGATGTGTTCGGTCAAGTGACCCTCCTAGTTCCCCCAAAGCTCATTTCAATGACCAAAACAGATCCCAAACACTCCGTGGGACTGCCATATATGCGTATATACATTGACCATCCAAACCACCCCAACTGATCGACAGTCCTATGGCAGTCCCATGGAGTGTGTGGGAATGGAAGAATGGTTGATATTTGGTGACTTGTGGACTCATGAAGGCCCCACGGCTCGCACCTGAAAGCAAGATACTCGTAGGTGTTTCATGGTGGTGGCCTGGTTCTGTTCTTTCCAGAAAAGATGATGCTTTCCTTCTTTGCCCCTTGAACTTCTTGAAAAAGCGATGTTTCATCCAGGTGCCTGCAAACTATTTTTCTACGTATTTGCCAACTGGGGCTTGTTTAAGTTGCGGAATTATACACTCATGCCTCCTGGTACCAGCGTCAACACATGAATCAATCTCGTCTCATGTCACCATTTGAAAGCTGTTTTCCACCCCGCAGAATCAGAATGTGAGGCAATTTTCTGCAACATGTGTCCAGCGAGCTGCCCATGTCGGGGGTTCCATTCCGTCCGTATATGGATCTCCGTGCGACCCCCGCTCCTTCGCCTAATCGTGTGTTCGCACGTAAGGCTCTATGCGGTGGACGCATGTGGTGGCCGCTTGACGAATTACATCGTTGAAACGAGCACCTGTTTTTGTATTTTCAGCAGTCAGAGGACTCCAGATCGAGAAACCCAGTTCGACTATGTGGCACCAACGTAGTTCCTTCGCTCGGTGACCTTAAGCTTGAAGACCCTTCTGGCGCTTTTTCAAGTAGTCTTGCATTCGCTTGGACTTCAACTTTTTCGGGGTTCCAGCAAAACTGAGGGAGAATGGCCGTCGTTGGCCTGAGGTCCTAGTCCTCAGAATCTGCCAAATCTTGCTGCGGGCTTGCTGCTTGCTCAACTGGCTTACATGTGAACTCCCACTGGCGAGCCTCTTTCTTTTCCAGACACCCTGTTCTTCCGGGCCCGGAACATGGCTCGATCGGTGTCCAGTTAGGCTCCATGGGCGATCGATGTGTGTTCTTGAGTGTCAGAAGGCGATGCCAGGGAGTTGTTCAGGCCTTTTGATGTGTTCTGCCGTGCTTTTGTACACTGCCAAGTAGCAGGTTGGGGGTGAGTTTTCCTCTTCCAATTGCTCACAAGTCAGAGGAAAACGTGATAAAGCATGCATATATTCCAGGCAGTCCATGTATGCCATATATGATCATATATGCCTACATTGACCCCCAAACCCACCCCAACTGATCGGCAGTCCTATGGCAGTCCCAGACGGGTCGTGTCTGGGTATGAGAGCCCTCCACCGCCCGAATCACTCCACCGCTTTCTGACACGGCACCGAGGAGGCATCGGCTCGCGTGACACTTGGGGTGAGGGTCGGGCGACAGCAGCGGCCGCGGTCGACTGCTTCCCCGATGGCCCTCCAGCCACTCAGATCGAACACGGTCGCGGCGCTCGGCGAGCGAAGGCTCCGGTCGGTCCTAGGGCGATTGGAGTTGGGGGGACGATGCGATTTGGAAGCTGAGAGCATGTGGACTGATCTCTCTTCATTGCTGGATCTTACTGTTTTCCAGAAGTGCTGGTGATCTCATGAAACTTTGGACATGTGACCCTCATTACTGTAGCCCTATGGCCCCACAGGGTTCACAGTTCAAGGGAGATGCCGCCCTTGCCTCCCTAGCTTGCATAGCACTTGGAGTCCCAGGTATATAAATATTGGAAACGTCGCTTCCCAATCTCCTTGGAAACATGTTCAGTCTGCATGGCAGGGCACCACATGGCATGCACCCGAGACCCAAGTCCTCCCAAAGATGTGGGCCTCTCTTCGTAGGGGTCCCTTTTCTGCCATGCACCTCATATTCCGTGTGGCTCTTCAGGGGCCATCATTTGTTTTTTCATGTTTTTTCTCGTGGGGGATGCGGGACCGGGGGTTTCAAGCACTTCGAAGCAATTTGTGAATTTGCAGTTGAAGAAACAGATGATTTGGCCCGAGAACTGCGATTGACCGAACTGAGGATGCTCTGGGGCATGCGGACAAATGCTTCATATGACAGTGCCTGCTCAAAGCAAGCCACCAAAGCCAGGTGAAGAATGAAACCTCATCACTCCAAAACTCTGCTCAAACAAGATCTGGAGGTGCGGAGATTCGCTTCCTTAAAGAATGGGTACATTGCTTCCTCACAGACATGGACATTGGTCTCATGTTGGGACTCTCAGCATGGACCATGATCTCTTCTACCTTTCTGAACGTGCCAGCGCCGAAAGCTTTAGAAGATGATGTCCCGATGTCCCCCAAAAAGAACATCAGCACCGGGTTGCTGAGTCGCACTTTGGGACAGAACTGATTTGCAAAACAGCCATGCTCCAGAAGGAGCTACCTAACAAAACCGAAAACAAGGTGGAACCCAAGAGACATTTGTACACTTGCAACATCTACACACATGTCTAAACTCCTGAAGGACCTACTTTGGCTTGTTTGGCATTTTGCCACCACAGAAAATTGCACCCTCAGAGGCACCAAGGGGACTGGGAACCTTTCTAAAACCTCATAGGGAGCAAGCTAGCAAAACCTCTCCCCCAAAAAATTAAACATAATAACAAAAACATCCAAAACCAACATTGCAGCCTTCGAGCAGATCAACTATGATGAAGCCAACCACGGCCCGACCCAAAATCAGTTCGGCCGTTTCTTTGGGCGGCGGACGCTTGAGCTGGCGAAAGCGGCTGCCGGAATGGCGGCCGGGTGATGGTGGCCATGACCTTCCAACCTGGACCAACCGGCGGCGCCAGTGGCAGGTTTCAACCACCCACCTCGTGGTCGACCACCGTACGTGGCGGGTAAACCCACGCCCAGGTTTGCAGGTTCTCCACACACCTTAAGACCACACCTTTTGGACTGAATATGAGCTGGATAGGTGCGTTTTCCATTGATGAAGACATTCGAAAGTCCTGACATTCGAAGGTCCTGGCCGCTCTTTGCCCAGGGATGTTGCTGGGCGCCATTTGAATGGGATGTGAACTTGGAATGAGTTGAACCCCACCAACGCAGCCATGGAAGAAGTGAAAGCCATAACCTGACAGTAGGACACCCCTGCGCCTGGAACGCAATGGCAGGTTGGCGAATCAAGAGAACGATGCCTTCTGCTGATGCGAATGATGCACTTATTGTTTCATTGTGTGCGGCTTTTGTTAGCATTGTTTCTGCACTCTGGAAGATCAACATGGAACCCGAAAACCACTGGGTTGTAGAGGAAAATAGTCTTCCAAAGGTCCATTTCCAGGTTCCATGTTAATCTTCCCAGGTGTAGGTGTTCTTTGGGGGTGCAGGAAATTGGCTCAGCCAGTCCAGCTCGGCAGATCCCCAAGCACTGCAAACCATGGAGGAATAAATCATTGCTGATGCCACCCGGAGGCGGTTCAGCTGCTCCCAAAGTACGTATATTGTTTATTGGCTTCAGGATGTTTTAGGAATTTTCTTCGATCTCTTCTGTCTCTGTGTTCGTTTCAGTTGTTCCAATTGGTCGGCTATTGGTCAGGGGATCATGGCTCGAATTCCCAAATTCAAGACCAAAACGACCCCGCCAAAATTGGTTCCATTTCAGAAGGAAGATGGGATAATGAGATGGGTTATACAAAAAGACTCAAAAAGTCAATCTCTTTTCAAGTCTTTTCCATATCAGCAGGCTTGGCTGTGAGTGCTTCAAGAAAAGACAGAAGAAAGGTAACCTCATCCAGGGGTTCCCAGCGTAGCTTTTAGATCCTCATTATTATATATACCCGTACACGGAAACTTCCCCTTGGCTTGCGTACAACATCGAATTTGCATGGGCAGCTGAAATGTCTTTTGCAGAGCCAGTTGCACTGAAATTCCTCTTCACAAATCAGTATTCGCTCCAATTGCATCCAATTGCGACTTTTTCGACTCCCAACACTCGACCCGGCCAGCACTTGATTGCGTCCATCCTTCCGAATCGCGCGGCCTCCCGGTTTCCCCGCGGCCGAGCTCGGATCCCTCGCGACCGGCGACTGGATCCAGGTGGTTTTTGGACACCCCTTCAGAGGCTATTTATAGACACCTCTTTATCATCGACGAACTTTTTGGTTGAGTTGCCCGACTTCTTTCCTGCCCATGCAAAACTTGCGAGTTTGCATAATATGAAATTTTCACACTGCGCGGCAGTTTCCCGATTGAAGACATTGATTTGCGAGAATGAGGCGAGACAGAAAATGCTGGTTGCAGGTGTGGGCCATCCGGCAATCCAGAACACTTCAGCTCGAAGAGTTTGGGGCAGTGTTTGGGGTCACCTGGGAGAAAGATCATTAGGTTGGTCAAATATGCGGGGCACATCAGGGCACCCTCTACACCGATGAAGATCCATTTCTTCGGATCGTTTTGATTGGGAGCTCAGAACTGGCTGAGCTCCTGGCCATGTTGGGATATTTTGTGATATGTAGCATTTGGGGGCACCCCGCCCCCAAGCTCTTTCCACTCTGTTCGCTTTGGCAGCCACTCCAGCTCTCGCCGTCCCTGCTGAACTCGAGAGATTTGACCTTCAGGTTGCGAGACCCGAAGTTCCAAAATCAGGTTTTGGAATAGTTTGGAATACGTCCACAGCTCCTAAATTTTGACTTGGTCCCGATCCGTTTCCCGCCGCTTCCGCTCCTGTGCGGCCCGGTGTGGCCCTCGTCTCTAGCCATGCCACAGTTGCCACAGACGACATCGGAGGGCAGCGAAACGCGCCCGCCACGGATGCCCCAGCGCGCACCCAGCGAAGGCTGGACGGGTTCGGAAAGGGTTCCTTCGACCGGAGCTGCTGGTGAACGGTGTTGATGAAAAAGACGTGTGGAGCTGTGTTCTTGTTTTTCAATTGATTGGCAATGTCCACCTCTAAACAATAACCCCCCCCCCCACTTTTTCCCCCCCCCCCCCCCCCCCGATCAAGTGCAGGCCCCAAATAGTGTGAAATCCAGAAAAATCCTAGAAAATATTGATTTGAATTGGAAATGAAAGGAAAGGAAAGGAGTTGTTGTTCTGTGTGTGTGGTGTGTGTATGCCTGGAGCTCAGAATCAAGATTTGGAAGCAGCTGAAAGCTCAGAATCAGGTTTGGAAGCAGCTGAGAGTATATAAAATAATATTAAGTTTTGGAGTCAGCCCCAAAAACAAGATCCCAAAAAGTTTAGCATTATTTAGGGGACATTTATTACTTTTTTTGAAAAAAACATTAGCATTATTCACGGGGCATTTAGTGTTATGAGGTCAACATTACCTCAGATTGGTCGAAACGACCTCTATGACGACCCCTTTTCCAAGTGACATGATGCTCAAGAGACCCCCCTTCGCTCCAAGCGTAGGCACTTGGTTGGCCGTCCACGCTTGACTCTTGAAACCTTTGACATGTTGTAGCATGGTGCAGGTTGGGTGGTGCCGCCAGCTGTCAAGGACTCCGCCCGGGGACGGAGGCGCCGAGTCAGAGGAGGGGTAGACAGTAGACTAACTAGACCTCCCAGACTCAGCAACACTCCAAGCCTTTTCGTCTCCAAACATCATGGGGTCATATATACATACAATTGAAGGAGAGGAAAAACACATATTTCTGGATCCTGGATACTTGCAAGCAGTGGAGGCAAGAACGTTTTCATGCTTATGGGCAGATCATTCATTTGGTTACAATTTTAGCTACAGTCAACCTGCCCCCTAGCTTGGTTGAGCAGTCATTGGGAGGGATATGGGGTGCCCATGGAGGGTTCCATGATAGAGCACTCCAGGATTTGAAGCCTCCCACTCCCGTGCCATGGCCGCTTTTGAGTGCCTGGAACCCATCGGGGTCCCCCAACAGAGGTCCCCAACACAGCTGGTGGGCTCCCAATTGGACATCGGACAGGCTTTTTGGACCACAATCTCCGCTCCAAGACAGTTCAGGTCTGTCCATGGCATCGAAGTGCCTTCCCCCATTGGTTGAAGGAAGAAGAGTGACGGCTCCGGCCGGGAGGTGAGGCACAGCATTTGCCATGTTTTTGGTGTTTCCAGGTGGTATTTTGGTGCTTGTCTTCCTCCATCTTCCTCCTAATATGAAAGAGGATGGACCATCCCTGCTTCGTCTTCTACCTCGTCCAGTGGGAAAGGAGTCCCAGTTTCGAGAAGCATCCTTCGGCCGGGACGGTGCCAAAGCATCACGAGTTCTGGGCCCCGCAAACATCGCCGTGGCCGCCCCAGGGAAACCTGATCAAATGGACACGTCGTTGATGTTGGTTCTTTGTCATGTTTGGAACTGATCTCATATATATATATATATATATGCATCATAGTATGTATCATGCCCGCATGTGTTTTTTGCATGCGAGAGTTCAGGTTTCAAGCCGCTTTTGGACGGCATGAACCCGCATTGCTCCTCAGATGCCTTCGCATGGCTTGAACCCGCATGATGGACCCTCCCACCGCAACGGCTGCACCGTCTCCACCATTCGCAGGATGCGAACGTCTCCTCCGACAGCTCATCAGAGGACGAGACGAACCGCGTGAAGCCCGAATCCAGCCTTCCCAATGCTCCACTTCATCCGGACATTATACGTTTCAGCCAAGCGCATCAGCGCCCCTCGGCGAGTCTCGATGGATTTCGAGCACCGGTGTCCCACCGACTGGTCTTCCTTCGTCGCTCCGAAAGAAGACGGTTTAAGCGACCAGAGCCGCTCAAGATGGTTTGCCCAAAAAAGCGGAAATAGGATAATCTACAGTAAGCCATTTAGAATTCTATAGAATTCTCTTTCTTGTCACGCTGCAAAACTCCACCGTCAACAGAACAACTGAAAAATGGTTGCAGGTGTTACTTGCGACTCATTTTTTATAGTTGCATTATGAGAGAACTGCAGCTTCATGGGCCAAACAGCATTTGGTTTGTTGGTTTGGTTCATTTCCCCCATGCCTTTCGAAAACCCCAAGAGTATCCAAAAGTGCTGCACTACGGACACTTCCCGCACTTGCCTCAAAAATGGTGCTTTTCTCAAAGCAATATTAAGGGCATACTGGCATACCAAGAAAAATGCATACATTATATATATATATATTTCAACAAAGTCCTGCCCCTCCCAAGCGAAATTGTCAAACGCGTGGGAGAGGAGCATGATGTTCAAAGGTACTGTGTGTTGGATTGCTGTTTAAATACCCTTGGAATAGTTGGTGGGGCTATACCTAGAACCTCTTCTTGGGCAGAAACTTTTGCCTACTATGGGTAAAGGCACCTTTGTCCGTCCTTAGGCGTTCTTGCCCCCTGTAGGCGTTCTTGGCTCCGCTAGGCGTTCTTGTCCTTTTGGTGGCAATGGCAATGCTCAAGTAGATAAGGATCTACCCACCACTGGCTCCAGGAACCAAGAGATACAGGACACTTAAATATCAGCAATGAATTCACTTGATGTTTCACTTCTGCATGCGTTTAGTGTTTCTATGTTTTGTTTTATTGCTTTAGTATGTATTCGCGTAGGCATTCTTCCCGTCACTTAGGCGTTCTTACCCGGTACTTAGGCGTTCTTGCCCAATACTTAGGCGTTCTTATCCGTTCCCCGTTCACAACAATCAGCAGTTGGGTGGACAAAGGAATGGTAGCTGTTTTTTTTTGGGTGGGGGGCAAGTGACATGAGTTTCAAACACTTTACTTTACTTTAAACCGGGCACTAGCGTCAGGTTGCTTTCTCAAAAGTTTTTCCATTGTAGCAGCGATCAGCGACTGACGCTACTCGAGAACCAGCGCACCGAGTGCAACGCACCGAGTGCAACGCACCGAGTGCAACGCACGGAGTGCATCGCACCGAGTGCGCAGCCCAACCCGAGAACACCACATTACACCCAGTCACGCTTTACCGCTACACTGGTTTTTTCATTCAGATTATGGTTTTGCCTCCCGCATGTAAGAATGCATGTGATGTGATTGTGCCTCGGCATTTTTGACCCTTGAGGCTGGAGCTTAAATTGAAGTTGGGTGGAAATCATTGCCTAATGAGGTTCTAGATGTAACCTTGTCATAAGCAATACTAAACGAACATCGGCTCCAAGTCGATCTAGATCTATATAAATCACCTCCGAATCTCCTCATCCAACGGCTCAGCTTCGCTCGCCGTCTCAGGTGTCTCAGCCACCTCGGTGAGCTCATCAGGTCCAACGACCTCCGACTTCCATCGGGTCTTCAACAGCCTGTCCGCCTTTCGCGGTCAGTTGGTGGCCAATCAGAAGGCCGAGAGCTCGCGACGCTTTCGAGCCGAGAGCGACTCACGGCGCTTTTTTTTTGTGCCACGCGGCGAACTTGGGCTCAGACCAACTGACCTCCAATGTGTTTGTCTTTTGTTCTTTTAACCGAGATTTCGATTTGGAGGAGGTTGGTGAGAGAACGGTTCAAAGATGAGTGGCAAAGAGTAGAGGAAAGCAACTGGCCCCATTGACAGAAGGCATCAGAAGGCCAACTTTGAGGCACACACTCCATGTTTTCTTGTTTGCCTTTTCATTGGTAGCAGTCAGCAGCCTCAAGTGAAGGTGAGAGACACTTCTCAGCGCACTCCGCGTCCCGTCGTGTAAGTTCACATTCTGCACTGCGGTCGTTCGTGGGTTTTTTGTGGCCGCACGGTTTCGATGTTCTCGTTCCAGACTGCGCCACGGAAAGGAGTAATGGGAGTACCAGCTATGGCTTTTTTTAGGCCACGTTCTACCAGCAAATGCCATGTGAACTAGTTGAGACCAACAACAAAATAATTCAGCCTGCTTAAGCCGCCAGTTTACCACCGTTTACCACTATTTGCTGGGGTCTACCAGGATGACCCAAGTTGAACTCCGCGCGCCAGGCCATGCTCAACTTGTTGGATGAAGAGTTGGACAAGGTGAAACGTTCACCAGGCTCATTCGGGGGTCCATCCTCGAAGTCCCTCCCACAGACCTGGGCAAGGTGTTGATGTTCATGTTGGGAAATAGCTTCGAACAGAAAGCTTCATGAATCAGGCACACCGATCCTTTTTCCAGACGAGATTCGCTTCAGGAGGCTTTGGAAGATTTGGAAGAAGGACAGCACACCACGGGACCGTGTGCTGTCCACGGTCCGTCCACGGTCCTTTGATCGGAGGGAGGGCGAGAGCACGATTGCACCAGAATTGCACCAAATGCATGCACACTCCTCAGAGCGAAAAGATCTATTTTCGGACTAGGCCACAGAAGATGTTTGACTGGTCTATCCATGGCAGACATGTGACATGTGTGCTCGCAGCAGCGTTCGGGGGAAGATGTCTTTTACATCTCCGCCCGTGAAGAAGAGTGTTCACACGCCTCCAACAAATGCTTGCAGAGCACTGTTACCTGAGCACTGGCACTCGTGTGCCCCAGTGCACGTCCCGCAGGGCCGCACGGCTTGGGAATGCACCCACCTATCCCGCGCAGGGCCTGTTCCCCCCGGCGTCGCGGTTTCCCGCCGCGCGACCTCCACCGGAGGCATGGGCCCGGCCGCTTTGGCGCGTGGAAGTACCAGCAACGCCTTGGACCCGCAAGGCCGGAGCACTGTTCGACTCTTCATCGACCGGTGGTGACCGGTGGTGATCGGTAATCCTATGAAGTGGATGTGGCAGGTAGTGCCTGGTATAATAAGATGTAGCATTTAGGAATTGTTTTTTTGCATATTTAGCATTGAGATGTATGAACAGAAAGGTGGACTTTGTTGCCGGGTCGGTGCCCTCCCGAGGTATACTGAGGTGACTCGATGCCGCGGGTCGCCGCAGGTGGAGGAAGACAGTCCAACTGCAAGGGGGCCAGTTGGCACGCTCTCGCAAATACAGGCCGTACTAATACAGACTCTTAGTCCTTTTGCTTTAGAAGATCTTTCTTACTAATGGCAACACCTGATTAATAAACGGCCTCCCCCCCTCCCCCTTCAAGGTCAACAAGGTCGGAGATCGGAGGTATCTGAGGACCACATCCCCCCAATAAAGGTGATGACCTGATGATGGATGATGAGATGAGGACCTGGACCTGATGATGGATGATGGTTGATGGGATTCTGTGCCATGAGAAGCCATCAAAAGGATTGGTGAGCAGGATGGGGCAGTTGAGAGGTGGTGGTGAGAATCAGGAAGATGAGGACGAAGATATTGAATACTAGCAAAAAAGAACACAATAAAGAATTAAGACAATAATAGTAAAGGGCAGCTGAGATTGATTAATAGGGGGAGGTGGTCCTACTATTGCGACTATTGGGGGGTAGGGCCTGTGTGAGGGGTCCCTTTGTGAGCTTGAAACAGTTAAGATTTTGATAGCGTTTTAATAAGGGAAAATGAAAGACTTTTGCTACAGAGTTTTTGGGGTTTTGTAGCATGAGAGCTGAGGAGAAGCCATCAAAAGGATTGGTGAGCAGGATGAGGAGATGAAGATATTGAATACTAGCAAAAAAGAACACAATAAAGAATTAAGACAATAACAGTAAACTATTACTGTATATTTTTTTCTGGGGCAGCTGGATTGATTACTAGGGGTAGGTTGCTGCCTAGGAAAAAAACTATTAGGGTGATGCCAAGGTGGAAATCTAGGTTTTAAATTGGTTTCGTATTGGGGGGGGTTCGAGCTGGGATTGATTCATAGGGGGTGGTTACTTAATCCTGTGTGCGCATTACTAGCGATGGCCTCCAACCTACAAGCTTCTTGCTACTATAGTAGTAGTTAATGGCCTCCAGTCCGTTTCTTACTATATAAACCACGCGTCAGGTGTTTGACCCGTAAAGGAACGAGCTGGACAACCCAGACACCAAATCTGAGAAACACTCCTTCGTCTTCTGGAAGACGCGTCGCCTTCTCGAGTTCCCCAAACGACCTGCCACAAATACAGTGGAGAAGACCAACAAAAAGTGTCAGTTAAGGAAAATTAAGGGAAACATCTAAGGGAAAGGCAGCCATAGTTTTGGATGTAAAATGTATCCTGCAGCATTTTGGAAAGAAGGAGTGAGTCCGGCCTCATTTTTGGCGCCTCTACCATGTGAGCTTCAGGTGCTCCAACATTGATGCACGCTGCGAGCGGACAAGGCCAGGAGAAGCACTGGACTGACCCGCAACTTGGGCCCACAACCATTTTTGGTGCTTGACGTGTTGCTCGACTCTAGGGTGAAATGGAGAGCTACCACAGCCCATGTGGTGCGAAACGATGTTCCGTTCGCAAGGAACCTGGGGCTCCCAGGATCTCCGAACCAGGGAATCATACCCCTGGCCTGTGGCGCGAGCGGTGCTTCCAAGCACCAACAAGGATGTTGGAGTGTGCGGCATAAGGTCAAACTAGTTGCTAGAACTGCTATGTTGTGGTCGCTTGTGCATGCGTTTCCGGGGGGGGGCCATTATAAGACCGAGGAAGCTGATTGAAGAAGCGGTTCACCAGTGAAATGCGCATGATGTACTTCATCAACTGACCTCATGACATTGCGTCAACACACGCCCCTTACACAACAGAGGAACTAAATTGTCAAGCAAGACAAAGGAGAAGCCCTTTAGACGTCTGAAGTCCCAGACGAACAATTTTAAACTCTAAAGTCCCAGACGAACACCCAAGCAAGGGGCCACGGTTTGCAGGGCAGCTTGCCTCCGAAAACCAGTTCTTGATCCTCTACATGTATAAATATATAGATTATTTATCACAGATGAATACAACTATGACTATACATACATACATACATACATACATACATACATACATACATACATACATACATACATCCATACATGCATGCATACATACATACATAGGGAGAGAGATATCTAAAGATATGACATATACAGTACACACCATTAAACAAATAACACACATATATATATATATACTATATATAAGATACCATCATCTAAAGGATCAGGAGTTCAGGACATTTTGAAGATGCTTCGCACTCATGGCACTGACCTGGACTTTCCACTGCAGGTGGGACGCCCTTGGTGCGCGGGAGCAGCGGACAACAAGGCACCATGACCCTCGGGTGTCTATTGCATGGTAGATCCCTAAAGGAAACATTGTGTGAGCCAAGTTGCAGGAGTTCCCAGACACCCTAATAAATTCATGAAGTAGGTGACAATGTACTCTTTTGGAGAGCATCATATCCACCGAAAGCGGTTGCTTTTTGGGGGGTGATGAGCCAATGAGGATGGAGTGGTAGTGGCAGCACATCACTGGAAGCGAACACACCCTCACAGGTCCCCCACGCAGCTGCAAGAGGAAGCGTGAAGGTCAAAACCTGGCACCTCAAAGAAATGAAAGATAGAGAGCAAGATCCAGGCACTGCGGCCTGAAAAAAAATGCCCTGCAAACTGCAAGCATTGTCACTGAGTTGGTGTCAAAACTTCTGTAAAGACCCCAATTCGATGCTCCCATGCTACCTCTTCCTCCTCTCACGAAGCTACGTAGCTCTACTTTCGGCCCACGCCCTTGGCATTTGAACCATTTATATATCTAAAGGGCCTGCCCCCTTGCTGCATATGGCCGTCAAACCAAATACCTATTTATCACCAAAAATGTGTTCAAACCGCAGCATCTCCCAAAGTCGACCAACACGAAGCATGTGTTTGTGTTTTGGGGCTCCCAGGTTCAACTCTTTTTCAGCTTATCGCCTTGGGAGTTGGAACGCCTGGGCGTCGTGTTTTTGTTTTTCAGACGGGCGTTTGGCTGCCAAACCATGGAGAAAAACAAGAGTCGCAACAGTAGTAATTTGAGCACAGGATGAACATCCCCCCTGTTAGCTTGGTTGAACTTATAAGAGCTAAAGTAGCGATTGATCCAAATAAACAATGAAACACACTGTCACCACTGTCATTCATCGGCGGGTCATGTTGTCCCGGTGGGAATTTGTCCCCAACTTGGGTGATGTCTTTCTGCAGACAGGCTCCTTAGTTCAGCAAATCCAAGTATAAGGAAGGTCTTGGAGAATCTTGGGCGATCGCTCTTAGGTTTGAGGCCATCGCTCTTAGGTTGCAGGCCAGCACTTCTACGTCATTCTAGGTTGGAGGCCAGGCCATCGCTTCTAGGTTGAAGGCCATCGCTTCCGAGTTGGCCGCCGCTATTGGGTTGGAGGCCATCTATCCCTTGAACTGAACTGTGGCCGAACTGTGGCCGATGCTGGACCCCGCCGCTGGCAGGTTCTGCTGACAAGGGCGAGGTGAAACGGTATTCCTTCAATTCCACCTTTCCATCACTGCCATCAGTGCAGAAAGCCCGCAAGAGGCGCGGGCTTTGGGTGTGGGGGTGGGGAACATCTACTGGTGGCGCTTTGCTTTTGACATGGTTGGAATGACCATCTTGTCTCGTGCAGTGGATTTAGGCTGCCTTGGCTTTAGATTTGGTCACAGACAGTTCGCACTGGCACTGGGCCAGTCGGAATACAGGCGAACTTCGCAACATTGTCTGGACATGTCTGGACCACCATGTCAGCTTGTGCACAGCTCCACTCCCAGCATCTCCCCGCAATTTTGGGAGAACAACTGCCTGGCTCCAGCCTACCGGCACCCACCATGTGGCACGAGCACCGCCGATGTGGCTTCTGGTCGGAGGCGCATGTCCTGGATCCAGAAGACGGTGAACCCGTTGGTGAACCAGCCCGACAGTGGGGAGGCCAGTCCAGTAACTGAGAATGGAGAAGCTTGGCAGGCGAGGTGGTCCAGGGTGGGCTTGTGGAGGACTTGAACCGCCCGTTCGGCGTCCTCGGGTCTGGTCAGGAGCGGGGTGTACCCTATTAGGTAGGAGCAGGACACGTCCGGACTTTGGGGGATGAATTGGGGTGCCCAATTCCACGCTAGTGGTGCTTGAAGCCCACCGGTGGGCGCCAGCTGGAAGGCATCTCCAATCGGTGGAGGAGCACATGCTCATCCCACGCACGATGCGAAGAGACGGCCTTGTTCGCTGCAAAAGCAGCAAAGGCAAGTGGAAGACCCTACGTCTCGGCTCGCTGTCAACAGCTGAGGCGGATGTGAACTGGACCAAGGAGGACAAGGACAAGGCATTGAATGCGGCGGAGGAGTACCAGAAGGGAGGTATGTGGCTTGCTCAGTTCGATGGTTCGATTCGTTTGTGAGAGGCAAGGTTATTTGGTTATCCTATGCATCAGTGCACCCACCCCAAGGTGACATAGCAATCACGAGAGGGGCTTGTAAGATATCTTAGATGCATTTCAGAGACCAATATGGTTGCTAAGTGCGTGACACCAGCCGAGAATGAGGTGTTGCACCACAGAGTCGGGATTTCCAGGCACTTCCTTGACACTCCTTCAGTCACTTAGGTTGTCCCAGTTGAATCAAGACTTGGCCAAGAAGAATGTCCGAAAGCGCGCAGCGCATGCTTCTTGTCAAATAAGATTATATATAGGATTTTCAATGTTAACCGTTCTGGTAAACTATGTTAAACTTACTTACATCTTTTAATGTTCCAAACGATTCCCCCACATTGGGTGTTTGTCCATTTTCTTTCTCATGAAGTGTATCCCTAAACTTGCTTCTAGACACGCCGGTTTGTGCCAAGACTTGACTGGAGATTGGAAACCTCGCATGACTCTTTCAACATTCCATGACTTCGTGATCACGAGTACCCCATCAAAACCACTAGTTTGTAGAGGAAAAGAGTCTTTCAGGGTGCCATTCTCAGGTCCATGTTTGTTTTTTGGGAGTGTATGTCCCTTTGCCTCTTCTTTCTTGACTTCGCCAAGGAGTTGGAACAAGCTGCAGCAGGGGACGTGTCGCCAGTGCGTCAGACTGAAGGAGGCATTTTGGCGCCTCGGCTTGTGGGAATCGCCATTGGATGATGAGAGCAGGGAACAAAAACACGTCCGACAAAGGTGGGAATCAGATCCGAGGGATGTCGACAGGTTTTTTTCGTATGCGGTATACGTCCTATCGATTCGAAGCGGTTTCCCTCCGCCTCTTCAGCCAGGCAGCTTGGTGTCGAAACAGCCCAACTTCGGCAGTAGGAAGATCCCGGTTGTTCTTTTTCATCCGGGTTCAGCCAAATGATTCACCAGAGGCCTGAAAACAGGTCCAGATGATTTTGCGCTTTCCAGATCCTTGTGTTGTTTCCTGCAGTGGCACTGCCTGTGGTCAAGCGAGATGTCTTTGTTCTGGCAGTCTTTTGGGGGACGAATTGCTAGAACAAGCCCTGACTGAAACCGTATGCCTAGCATCATTCATCATTCTATGCGCTCGTGTTCCTTTGTGCTTCCGGCGCACGACGTTGTCGCCCACCTCCGCGCGACGTTTCAAAAACGCCATGGGCCTTAACCAGAGCCACGGGTCGAGGTGAGGATGGGGATGCACCCCTGGTTCGAACGGGCCACCATGGCCATGATCTTCATGAATGCCGTCTGGAGCCTTCGGCCGCAAGCCCGGGCCGGAGGGAGTGAGGGGAATCGGAGAAATCGCACGAGACGGCATATAGGTTTGGATGGATGTATATATATATGTAGTATATATGTGTGTGTGTTTACCACAAATGGTGGGCCGATCTCAATGATACACTGTACACACATGTGCCTTGGGATCTCTTGTAGGAGCGTCGAACTATTCTGTTGTAAGTGTAGTTGCCTTCGTGGACGCACTGAGCCAACACATTCAACTCAGTAGGACCGCGGTTCGGCTGAAACCCTGTATTTGGAGGGATTTCTTTGGCCTACAGAACCTGGTCTCTACGCTGTTGCTGAAGGCTGCTGAAGGCATTTCTTATTGGCATTCCCGAGTCTTTTGTAAACGAAGGTGTGAAAGACGCTGACGTCCCTGCCGTCCCGACACTCGGACGACGTGCCGGGCCGTGTGGCCCCGAGATCCACACGTCCACCAGGGGTGGCGCGGCGCGCGAGCATGAGGATCTCAGTGGACATCGAGTTCAATGACGCTGACATCTTGGCCGAGGCAAGTGATACAATTTCGTGCGCAGAAGAATTCGTAGGTCAGAGGCCATCGCTATTAAGTTGGAGGCCATCGCAGGTTGGAGGCCATCGCTGGATGGAACTGAGGGAGGTAAATATATGACATATATTCTTTGTGTGGTGTATAGATAGTTCAGGGGGTAGAGGGTCGGAGTTGGGTGGGGTGTCCACCTCAGGGGACCCTGGGACCCACCGAAGCTGGCATGGGTTTCCAGCTGTTCCTTGGACCTGATCGAGCAGGCAGACGCTGGCTTCATTGTGGTGGAGAATCTCTTTTGCACCTTCTTCACCTGCGAGCTGATCCTTCGCTACAGTCTCTTCACCAGGACCTGGTTTGCACTGCAAGATCCTTGGTTCATGCCCCCTGGCTGATTCGGTGATTCGATGATCTAGTCCATGCTTGGCCGCCATGAAATGGGTCTGGAGCCGGCTGCAGGGGTTAAGACATTTTAAAGACGACCAAATTGCCAAAGGTTTGCACTAGGGAATAGAGCCATGAGTGGGTGGGAAACAGTTTGTTTGCCAAGTGTCTCGGACTTTTGGGCGACCAAGGCCTGACCCGCCAGCCTGTCGCGTGTAGATTTCAAGTGTGCAATGTCAAGTTTAGCAGAAGCATACCGCGTGACATGTGCGTGAAAGGCATTTACGCAGACAAAGCTAACACATCCAAGCTCCAGATTCTCAATGCCAGTTGCAAGTTCGAACACCTGAAGATGTGAACAAGTAGATATATAAATCATGATTAATATATACATATATATATATACACACACGTGCGGATATATTTCATTTTAATATATATATATAGACTGCCCACAGACCGTCCTCATCATATTGCTTGGAGTTCACAAAGGTATGACATTTCCATGGCAGACGTGGAGGTGACATGTGATCGTTCTACGGTAGTGGATTGTAGAATTTCGTTTAGTTTGCTCAGTTGTTTTCTCATTGATCGTATGAAAGATGGGCGTTTTAGGATCCGTGGCAATGGCCATAGTGTAGGAAAAAATCAGCATCCAGCAGGAATCCCCGGCCCAGCCGATTGGAACCTTTTGGAACCGTGTAATCAACATGGTCGGGTCGGGATCCGGGTATCAACAACACGTTTCTTTTTTGGGTTGTGGTTTTCATGCGACTGCATGACACATCTCCTTTTCTGGCCTAGAACCTGTGCTTTTTTCTCGAGCCCGGACCCATTTATCATTCATCGAAACATCATCCGAGGTTTGATGTTTTCCTGCTCATTTTGATGGTCTTCGAAACGTGGCTGGTGCCCATCGCACACCTTTTGACCTCCAAGAGCGGCAACAGCTGCCCGGCACCGGTATTTTTTTTTGTTTTGGGGGGGGGGGGGGGGCGTATAAGAAGGAAGGAGTCCAGTTATATATGTCCAGTTTGCACTGATGCCCTAGGGAATTGCACAAATGCCGGGTGCTGGTGATGGTTTGGAAGATTGATATGCTTTCCCTATTCACATCCCATTGTTTGGCAATTGTTGGCCTCCCAGAAACGCAAGCAGGAAGAAAGATGCACCCTGAGCCCACGGAAGATTGACAACCTGAAGGTACTTTTTCTGGAAACAGTGTGCCACCTACAAGCCAACAAATTTGCAGGCTCCATGTTGGTTTTCGACCCTTTAGCTCTAACTGGTTTCGCCAAGGTTTTCTTGTGTGTCGCATAGAAGGGGACCTACCCCCTTCTATCAATTCTACACAAATCTTTGTCCTCTTCACTCTTGGAACCCGATTTGCCTGTGTCTCTCTTCTAAGATAGTGACATGTAAGGGTTTGGGCTCCTAAGCGGTTAGTTGGGCTCAGTCCGGGTGAGTCTTGAGGTCATCCCTCTCTTCTAAGATGGTGACATGTAAGGTTCCTGCCTCCCAGTTGGCCTTGAATTTCTGCATGGGTCTACAGTCTAGCTCAATTGGGGCTCGTCTCGATTTGATTGGTATCACCCAACTCCGACCAACTAGGCATGACGGGTGGCGCCTCTGTTCTCCGGGTGGCACGCGTGCTGCGGGTGCTGCGCACTGCGCGGATGGCGCGTTTGGTGCGGTTCATGCCGGAGCTGATGATCCTCATCAAAGGACCGACCAGGGGCGTCTGTGGCGTTAGGTCTTCCAAGGCTGAACAAGAGATGTTGGGAGCGCCAGTTGGATGTTTGATCCTCGATCCTCGTCAAATGACTCACTCCATGCTGTTCCGGAAGCGGCACCATGACCTGTACGGGGGCCTTGGAGAATGGCCGAGTTGTTGGGGATTGGTTTGAGGCTGAGAATGGGGTTCAGTTTGGTTTTTGTGGTTGAGAAAGGAATTGAAACAAAAGGCTTCGCAACACTGTATCACCGACTGGGCGCATGGGCACAGGCTGGTCCACCTGAAGGAAGCACATGGTTTTCCTTTAGCAGCTCCGAGCACAATGACCTGCCGCAATGCGCAGAATTCCTGGCACCCGAAGGTCATTTTATATACCGCTTTTCAGAAGTGCGCACCAAACTACTTCCTCAAGTGTCAGGTCTTTCAACTATAGATCGACACTGTTTTCTTTCGGAATTAGTCTATTGTGCCGTGCTAGGAGATGCTAAACTTATTGCTAAACTATATAGGTCCATATATATATATATATATATATAGCTGGCGCTTTTTCAGATTCCTAATGTTGAACCTTCACTCGGGACATCTTGGGGCGATTGGAAGCATCTTGAACCCACTGAAATCATCATGGTTACCGCGTTGAAAGACATCCCCAACCCACCGGACCACGCTGCCCGACCGGACCACGCTGGTGGTAGGAATGATGGTGGCCTGTCGCTCTGTGCTGCTCGACCGGACCACGTGGTGTGAGACAGATGAATGCACGTCAACACGCGCTACGTATGAAATCTGTTTACGTTCACGATGAAGAAATCAATGCTATTTGATGCTATTTGGCCAGTTGTTTGATAGGCCAGGCCAGCTGTTTTGGGCATTTGCGTGATGGGATCGGATGCATCAGAGTCAGAGTTCATCATTGATGCCCGCTACCTGCTCGTGACAATCTTGGCTGCTCAGGTTCTTTACCTTGGTATTGCTCCTGCTCTTCACGTATGTCTTTAGCGCAGCTCGGCCCATCAAGCTTCACCGGGCGGTGGTAGCATCTTTGGGTTTGCTCAAGATTGGCATGGCTCTTGACCTAATCACCCACAGGCGCCCACAGGCTTCATGATCAGGGTGTTGGATTCCATTTTTAGGATGCCACCGACGCATCCTTCGATGCATACCAACTACACATGACTGAACCGTTGAATTCCGGTCTCCCCGAACTCTGGCAGCGCCATGTTCCTTCCTTCCTGTTGCCTCTCCTAACCGAGTCATCACCCGTTCAACCACCATCCGGTTTCTTCCCAGGTGGCCTTTGTGCAGTTCAGCCGTGGCACCGCCTTGGAAGGCCAGTTCTTCGGGTCCATGGGCACGGCCATTTGGACCCTGCCCCTCGGTCGCGCCGTCGCGCCCCGTTCGGGGCTCGGGGACAGATCCACGGAGGATGAAGAGGTGGGCAGTCGGATGGGAGGTGGTTTTCTTGCCATCCACGTGTTACCAGAACGTCCATGTAAATACATCGATGTAATTACAGTGGTTTCAACCATAGCATGGCGCACTGCCACCCCAAGACGTCTTGGACAGATGAGGGTCCACATGAACCTCCGAACTTGGGGAAACTTGTGCCATCTACTCTCAATCCACTCTTAGAATACTAAAAAATATATATACCAGGACCATCCTGTCTGGGTGTCCTGTTTGGAGATCCCACATAGTAGTGCAGGGTAGTCCAGCCAGGACACCCAGACAGAATGGTCCAGGTTTATACACGTATTTGATGTTAAATTTGCAATGTAGGGTCATAGATGGGGTCCTTTGGGACGGACGTGCAAGCTTGGCCAAGCTAGCAGTATGTGAGCAGGGGACGATGTTCTCGACTTGAAATGACCCCAACATGAACGGGAGCGCCACCATCCACCTTGAAGGAATACTCCCTAGGGCTCCTGGCCTACCTCCTGAGGTTCGATGGTTGGGGTGGATGCCAGGGGGGTCGAACCACCTCCTGAAGTATGTTGGAGCCCTAGGGTAGCATGAGTGGCTCGGACGTTCGTGCGATTTTTGCGACCAAGCGGCTCTACACTTCTGAGGATTTTGAAGTGCATTCTCACGGACCAGCAATTCATCATTGAAGCGGTGGCGCAGGAGTTTTTCAGCGGCGAACGTTTATGATTTTTCTGAGACACCGAAGGGCTGGTCGGCTGGGCCGGGAGAATGCCATAGGAAAACAAGAAATGAATTCTGTTAGATGTGGGCTTTCTCACAGGCTTTCACTTTGCATTCATCGTCACCATTTTCTGGTGATGCAGAAATTGATCGGTAGTAACTTAGTAGTACTGGTACCGCTTGCTTGTGCCATGCGCAAGTGTTTTTTTCACACTGCTTGACACCGGGTGTGGCGAAGAGGAATTTCAATGCTGAAGAGAACCTTCCAAGAGGTTGCTAACATTGGGCCATTTCCCACTTTGCCTCAGAAGAGATCCCAGACACTCCACGGGAGAAGATTGAATGCCCAACTGATCGGGAGTCAGGACTGCCAGCCACCGAGTGAATGGGGAGTGGCCGGGGCGGCCTCCCAGTGGAGGGAAGCCGTCTCCACTCGGCAGGAGAGTTGGATCATGGCCATCATGGTGCTTTTCTTCATCCTCTTTGGATCTTTAACAGCGACCTGGGAGAATCACAAACCAGCATACCACACTCAAAGGGGTCTCCAATGGAATGCCTTATAGCGCTGGTGGATCTCCATTGGACATTGATTGGATGGTCTAGGTATGTTTGAAGTGGTTATATAATCTTACAAAATTGAAGAATGACGATAATACATCGATCATGAATCAATGAGAGATGCATAGAGATGCCCAGTTGATATTTGTTCGTGTCATACATATCATAAATTGAATGAGGCCCACGCCTTATCATGTGTTTGGATGATTTGGTGGGAGCTTCCCACCCATATCTCAGGTGATGAACATGCTTTTGGGCGTGCTGGTGGAGGTGCGACGCGCGAAAGGGTTTCGCTTGGATCAGCCTTTGATCCGCGGATAAGCCATGAGAAGCCAGAAGGCGTGAAAGTCAAAAAGCCGGTGAGATTTGATGAGATTTGTATCCCAGACATTCCATGTTTTATGTATATAATATTACTGACATTTACAGTAATGACCTATTTGCCTACATTTTGGAGTAGTTTCAATTAATGTATATACTCCCCTGCAGATTGACATGGAACCCCAAAACCACGTCGGGTTGTAGAGGGTTCCATGGATGAACATGGTCGAAACCACCGGTCCATGCTCGGGTTCCATGTGAGTTGGCGGGAGAGTATGAGTACCATGTGCTTTGGGTATGGACTTCCGATCCTGCGGTGGATGGGATCGGACCCTTCGAAGAACATGCAGATCGACGGGTCGCGCGATGTCGAGGCCATCAAGACGGTGTCGACCATTGAGCGGGAACAGTTGGAAGTGGACTTTGCCAAGAAGTGCCTTTTGGAAATGATCGACAAAGGACCGGCATTGTCTCGACCCTTTCTGCCTCGCCGCGCGCCGGAAAGAAAAACCGCGACCGCCCCAACCGGACCAGCTTATCGGTGGGAGATGGTGCTTGAAACGTTCGGTTTCGGCATGCTGTGGCCGATTTCGCCTTGACTGTGCTCGATAGCTTTCCACCTTCGTTCAGTTGACCGGCGAACGGTTCGGTGTCCGTCACGGTTCGGTCACGTGCGGATGACGCCCGGCTCGCGTGTAAACAGGACAGGCGGATCAGGATGGCGACAACCGAATTTCAGAGGAAGAGTATCGGAATGTGTTGAGAACTCCCCAGGCGCCCGGGAGAGGGCGGGTCCTGTGTCATGTGTCAGGAGGTTTGTGGAGAGGGTGACTCCTAGTTAATTATCCATATAGGACATTGATTATCTCATATTATCTCCTAGATGCGATAGATTCACTGACTTACGACTCACTTTTGTTGGAATGTGCGAGCTATGTGAGTGAAGGCCAACTGGAGGCTTGGACCCTGAAGCTCTCAAGATGCCGACGTTATGTTGGGCGCCGATCGCCAGGCCATGGCGGCCTTGACCAGCTTGGGTGTCGATGTGGAGGCGGCCTTGGACTATGGTGGCCTGGTTTGGCAGAAACCAAGGATGTGATCTCTTAAGATAGGCGTCGCTGCATAATTTAATTGGTTGCTGTAGGATCTGTAGGCCACTGGTGGTTCCCCAATTCATCACTGGCATCCGCTGTTTCAGGTGTGTTTTCATCGTTTTCATCGTGTTCGACCAAGGCACCTCCCCGAAAAGGGCTCAGCAGTTGGAACGGTGGGATCTCTTTTAGTTGGCCTGCCCAGTTGTTGGTCGAACAAAGACAAAGGCCAACTTTAGTGGCTCAGTTCGAAAATAACAGGACCTTCCAACAACCTGGCTTGACACTATATCATACTATATCATTGTTTTCCTACTCATCACCTGCAGAGGTTGACAAAGCTGCCAACCTGATCCAACCTCCGTCTCCGTTTGATGCAAGGTGCGGAATTCTATTTGAGAATAAAACGTCATGCAGTACTCTCTTCCCTTTTCAGCTGACTCGTATGTGGTGACCCGGGGTGTTCCAGGGCGGCTCACATCCTGGTGAAATCGACCAGGGACCAGCACGCTTGGGCGGCTTCTGACATAACTGGTCCTTCACGAAAAGTGGCATCACCAAGTCTAATATAAATTTACCAAGTTTCAGGCGTGGGTTGTACGTCCAGAACGTGCACAGCTTTCCTGGCATCAACTGCCACCAAGCCCTGGACGGGTCAGCATGATGGTGCGTCTTCAGTTGCCAAGAAACTTTATCCACACGCACCATTTGGATCTCTCATTCCATACATTCCTCACTGGCCGATCTTCTTTTCCGTCAGAGCCAGAGCCTTTTCGGAGCAACCGTTCGACATCCACGACCCACGGTCGGTGCTGACGGCGCGCCGCAGCGCGGAAGTCTTCAGCGCGCCGCATGTGACTCACCGGACCCAGTGACTCACCGGTCCCTCGAGGCCGACTCTTGTTTGAAGACGGAGAGCCGTTGACCTTCGGAGACTTCATGCGCGGCATCTTGACGCTCCGGGGCTCCAATCAAACCACGGTCAAGGACGGTCCAAGCGGGGACGGTTTGCTTCGGCGACGTTCACGTGTTTTGGGTTCGAAGGATTCCACGGTGTTTTCTGAGAGCTTTTGGAGCAAAACCTTCAGACACCGAGAGGAGTCAGGATTGGCAGACCTCAGTGTTTTGGGAGCTTCTTTCGGTAGAAAACGTCCGCTATAGTTGGGACGGTCAACGGAACTTCCACGCGAATTTTTCAACTCAGTTGCTTATTGAACTGAAACACTAAATGCCTTGCAAGCTGAGGTGGGGGGAGTGCTCAAAATATTTCAACGTCTCGTGGTCATGACATTAAACCCTTTCATATTTTCAGTTAATGATGCATCAATTGGCAGAAATCGACTTATTATGACGACTGACTGACTTTAGTATGTGTTCGGCCGATTTTCTCATAGAGTCAATGACGCTGGACATGGATCGGCTTCCAGGACATCGTGGACCTCCGCAAGTTCACGGCCGACGAGTTTTCGCACATCCACGAGGTGCGGGGTGCCGCGGCATCGGTGCCTTTTTCGGGTTCGAATCGGTCGGGGGGGACGGGTGAGAAGCCGGGAGGAGAAGCGGTGCGAGGGCTAAGAGGGTCATGAAAAGACAGCGCGGCCTGAGAGGTGACGAGCTTGATAGTGATGTGAGGGAAGAAGGTGGAGGGCACGATAGTGGTGGACGCAATAGGTCGGCAATATGATGGCTATGAGCTTTTCAAGTGAGCGAAAGGATGTGAGGGGAGATGTGTTTGAGCCTGACTACAAGGGAATTTGGCTAGAATTTGCCGTTTTTCCTGCCCTTTTGGGCCAGACGCTTGGAACTTGGGGGTGTGGCCAGGTGCTCAACGGCATTTGCAAGTTCCTGGTGACTGGACCGTGTGGGGCTGGTGCCAGCGTCAGCTTTTTCTCGGGGGTGGGAGGTGGGAGACGTTGGTCGAAGAGAAGTTGGGTTCGTGGAAGTGAGTTGAAAGGTAGGGTGAGAGGACTTTGGCCGATTAATGTCGGGGTGGAAGAGTTGTGTGGTTCTTTCTTTCGTGATTCTGGTCAAAGATCGTGCCAAGCTTAAAGGATTGCCGGTCATGCCGTTCCTCCGGCCCCCTTAGGCAGATTGGGTAGGCGATCCAGTGTGAAATCTCTCAGAGTGTTCCAACACCCCAATCTGCCCACCATCCGCAGGATACAATCCGCCCACCCTTCCGCCAGCTGCAGCGCCCCCAACGCCTCAGCCCACTTTGGGTCTCCATCCTCGCGTCAGCCGCTCGGCGGACCGCGCTGCTCGATCCATTGGGAGAACCACGGGCCGATGTGTTTGACGCGCGATCGATGGAGGACATCGCTGAGGAACCCACTAGGAGCCCACATGCAGATGCTTCATAGGCCAGGTGGTTTGTAAGGGTGAGGAGGCTGTATGGCTGCTATAAATATATATATATAGGTTGTTTTTTGGGGGGTCTGGTATGTATATATATATATTTATATATATGTACCTAGAACATATTCGATGATATTAAGCCTACAGAATGGCAGGGTTAACCCCCTACAAAATGATCTTTTTGTAGTGGACAGTGCTGGGTGCCCAACCTCCTGGAGAGAGGGAGCGGGAGAGTATATGAGCGTTCATATATAGTTATCAAATATGTTTTCATGTGTATATATATATATATGTTATGTATATTTATATAAATGTTTTGCATTGTGTTTTTGTTATGTTGGTTTTTGCTTGTGAAGGTAGTGGCGCAAATTAAGGTACTGTAAAGGGGCCATGGGTTGAAGATGGTTGAAACATCTTATAACGGCTCGAGGCAAGCTCCACCCACATGTTCACCAACGTTGAAGCTTCTTGATGGATCGTTGATCCTGGATCCAAAGGAGTTCTAGCATGTTCTAGCTATTATATATATATAACATGGCAGTATGTATAACTATAATGACATTCAAACCAAAGGAGTTCTGCTTCATTCTTTCTGGACTTCTGCCTTCAGCACCGTTCGCAGCGTCCAACCCCGTTCGACCCCCCTCCGTTCGGACGCCGGTGACGGATCCGACCCAGGCGCTCGATCCTCCTTCACCTCCGTGAGCAGTTGGGCGGTGACGGAGGAGTGACTCGGCCGCAGGGAGCTGCGGCGGGTGACGTCGGGGGCCTGAAACTCCTGAACCCTGGAGGATGGTGGCCTACTTTCCAGCCCTGCCTGGCGGTGGAAAGTGTGGAGGCTGTTTGTGGAAAAAACCACGCGTCCAGGGCACCCCTCAGCCGTCAGCACTGGACGATGGAAGAGCTGGCCCTTTTGGGAACGGACCGATGATTTGCTGCAAAGGCCGGAGTCGGCGCCGGAGTTCCCAAGCACTGGCCGGATGCCAGCGGGGCTGCAGACAAATAGGTTCCAAATCTCATTTGAAAGTGTTTGATTCCAAGTCTGATGGTTTCCCTTGATCGTTTTGTGGATGCCCTTTTCTCAGCAATTCCTCTTGACATCTCTTGACCAAAAATCCGATCGACTGTGCCAGATACGCACATGAATCCGATTCGGTGAGTCAAATCGGTGCACGCAGACAAACCGGTCGCGGCTGCGGCTGCCGATCGCGGCCTGAAGAACGTCGCCTCTCGTTCCCCACCGAGGAGTTCTCGGGTCACTGGGCGCAGCAGCGGTGATGAGAGCTGAGATGAGGGGCGAAATGGTGAAGATGCGAATTCACCTGGGACCGGTGATGAGGAATGAGCCGACTCTTGTGATCAGGCACTGCGAATGTTCCGCTTCAAAAGGAATAGGCAGAGCGATAGTGCTCTATACATGCAATTATATTGATCCTCCGAAATAGGCCATGATTTTTCTGAAGCAGGATGGAAGACCGATGAAAGTACGGCCAACCCAGCGGCATTGCTGGTGGCGAGAGCTGAGTGGGACCGAGGTACGTCGTGGCCGAGGCTTACGGATCCAATCCTTAAGGTGATCATCCTTTATAAATTGAAGATCCATGAAGGATATTTAAATGAATGAATTACCCGAATTATATACTGCAAGATCTGTAAGTGAGATTTTGAATGGAATAATTGCATATTTAAACAACAACCATCTTCGGTTTGAGGTACCAATAGCGATGGCCTCCAACCTAGGAGCGGTGGCCTCCAACCTACTAGCGATGGCCTCCAGGCCCATCCACTGCAACCCTCTCGAAGGTGTTTGGGGATGTTTTTTTCAGCGTCCAACTATCTTCTGGGAAGGTTGGATCGAGCCAATGGAACCATGGGATGCGCGGAACGAGCGAACGCCGAACCGCCCAACGACCCGAACGCGGAACGAGAAGGGAACGAACATCACCGAACAGAGGGAAATGACATGTTCAGACTGTTGGTAAATGGCCAAAATATGGTCAACAACATCGTAAACAATGAACATGTCTGGTGACAGTGGGATTTGAAAACAGAACGTGTTGAATGTTTAATGACATGTTGGAAATCGATCCACGGTGCTTTGATGCCACGGTGTACCTTGGGCTGATGTCATCTCGTTGAAAACGATGAACATCATAGTGCAAGTGGTGCAGGTGGTCAGAAAGTTTGGTTCTCGCAACACCATGAAGATTCCAACACTGGCTAGATAGGCCAGGTATGACTTCTTGGTATGTTCGCCATCAACAAGATTCGCTTCCCACGAGACGGAGGGATGAACTGAACTTGGATGTTGCACTAACTACAACTCCCCCATTTCGGGTTTGACTGGGGGTCTAGGCTGTTGGATCTTTTCTTTTAGCCTAGCTGCGGCCCTGGGTGGTATTGAAGTAACGAATCATCCGTAGCACCGGCAGCAGCTATTTGTGTGAAATGGCCATTGGCACAACTTGCAACTCATGGACCAGCGAGTCCTATAGAGCCAATACGCCTCAGTTTTGGGCTGGAGCTTGCCACCGCGACTCGTGAACTGGCAGGACATGCTCCAGCCAGATGTGGTTCTGACGTTCGGAGGGTTTTTCAGGCCACATCTGGGTAATTCGACCGACTCCGTCCATGCAAGGGAGCGAAGTCGATGCGAGCCGATGAAGTTGCCAGGTTTCTGGGTGATTGGAGAGCAGCCTCCTTCTAAGGCCAAAAGCGTACCCTGGTACCATCCTGGTACCGTGGTGATTTCTGGGGATCGTTTCGTTGACTTCGTTGAAGATTTGGCTGTTACACATCGGAAATTGGAATGGAAGCCATGTGGAACATACATCACTTTCGACTGGACACTGGTTGTTGTTCTACATTCTTCGTGTGGGCGCCCAGCTGAATCATGGAGACGAGCGCCTGGACAGGTTTCGGGGTGATTCAAGGTGATTAACAACCACATGTTGAGGGTCCCTGATATGTCGGGTTTGTCCCAGTAAACCTGTATATAGAGCCATAAACAAAAACATCTCTTTTGGGGGGGATGTCGGCCTGCAAACTGAACCATCATCCACTGGGCCCTTGTTCAGTTGGAGATCCAACTGATGTATATATAATGAGTTGAGTCTAGAGTCTGTAGATGAGTAATCAAGTCACTGAAATGCCTTCTTCCCACACTTGTAGATGGTGCGTCGAAACATTTTGCAGCGCAAGCTGCTCAACAAGCATAGCCATGCAATTCTGTATTCCAGACTTTGTCAGGCATTCTCCTAAGGCATTTGCTCAAATCCCTGTATGAACATGGGTCAGGTTGTCATTAGCACCCAGAAATAAGCTGTATAGTTCTAGCCAGCCTCAAGTGGCAATGAGGAATCTATGCATGTTTATAACTTTGAAATGCTAGATTTCCTCGTCCTCGTCGTCGTCCTCACTGACGGGTCAAAAGCAGTCGATCCAATCGACTCTGGGCGTCAGTGACGGTCCACTCGCTGGAAGAGGGACGACGCAGGGAACAGCAGGAAAATCATGGGCAGGGCCGGATTTCTCCATGATTGGATGATTCGGAAATTCCCAAGGTAACAACTGGCAACAGCAAGCCTACAGCAGTCCCTACAGATTCAGGCCTAACCTAGGCAACATGTTCGGGTGGCGTCTAAGTCCTTTGCAAGCCTAAGTCCTCAGGTTGTGGGATCGACCGGTTACTTTGAAAAGGAATTTGATATTGAAACGTGCTCCATTCTGCTGATGGTGAGCATCAGGTCGGCTCTTAATTCACTTGCCACCCATCCCCTTTGCTCTCGACTGAGAGCTTTTTTGGCATGGGAGGCCAGATTGGTCCGATGGTACACGCTACTGTGAAAATTGACTACTCCTTTCTTCTTCACGACGCACGAGGGGCACGACGCAAAGCGCCAAGATGTGCATCAATCCCGAGATCAAACATCAGCTCCGGTGGCTGTCGTGAAAGCTTCCGAAGGACCAATTCGCATGACCGACAGGCAGTCAAAAACACGAGTTCAACTGCCTTCTGTGGGATGTCCGGTCTCGCTGGCAGTGAGGATATAGACGGACGTCCATGCTCTTTGTTCGAGAAGCTCTCTGCGGCAGAGGTACTGGTTGGCATATACGCATGCACTTCTAAAGAAACAACATGGATGTCGAAAAAAAGGAAAACACCCTGCTTATACGGGTGGGACGTTCCATTTCCATGATAGTTAATCGGAGTGTATGCTGGCAAACATGTGTAACACTTGTTTCCATGTGGGGGGAGCGCTCAACTCCGTATGGTGACATGGGAGGGCTGACAGACTGCCGCCCGTTCTTGGTTTGGACTATCAAACTGGGGCCTGACATCTCCCAGTGGAATTTGCAATACCTTGCTTGACCTGGAGAACCCTTGTCCTCGAATGAGACAGGGCAGGACAATTTTGGAGCCATGTGATACCACTATGCCATTTCGTTGGCTCCTCTGAGCGAGGGTCCGCAACACTGTGTGGAAGATGGGCTGCAAGGCTACGGCTTCAAGGAAGTTCGTTTGGAAACGGGCATGAAGATCCAGGTGTCCATTTCTGCGTAGTAGTGAAGTCAGTCCCCTTTTTGCCCCTTGTCTTCGTTTGGGGATGTGATGAAGATGCAGCACGGAGCGAAGGTTCAGAAAGCCAGAATAACCAAGAATGACTTGATCTTTGCAGTTCACATCGCATCACGTGTTTGTAACAGTGTTAGGGGGCTTCCGCCAGTGCGAGCATGGAACTGGCGATCCAGCTGCCCCAGTGGATTTGCTTGCACTCAGGAGTCCCAGGAGTGAAAGGAGTTCAAAAGAGGTTACAGTATTTTTTTTTAGAAAGGATTTTGTTGTTGAATAGGACGACCAAGAAGCAGCACTACATTTTAAAGCCATCTAAAACCCATTAGGTGACCGGGGTCTCACTGTTAAGATTTCCCACAAATAAACTCATGATCGAAGTATAATCCCGGGTGTGTATGCGTGTCTATTCTGCGTATAATCATGGTTGTGTGTGCGTGTGTTCGTAGTCTAGTCTATATGATCTATATCGTTCATATAGTTTCTAATTTTTTGACCTCCAAGACGACCAGCAGCCCATTATCGGGCACAGCTAGCCCAAAGCAGTAAGTCTTCAACGACCCCCTTCTGTGAGTGGTTTCAAAAGAACTCGGTGGAAGCGCTTCAAACAGAGAACCCACCGCTTGAGGCGGGTAAAGCTCCCAAAGGTCCTTGGTTTTGCGGACGGAAGATGACAAATCCACTGGCGGTACAAACCCACTGCTGATCATTTTCCAGGTGCAGGTCATCTGGCGATCTCGCGAAGGAGAAAGAAGCTATGCAGATATGTGTAGTATGTAAAGTCAATAGCCAAACACATCCAAACACCATCAACAGATAGATGTAATCATATATTGATTTATATATATATATATATGCGGCTGCTTTTGTGGTTGCCGATGTGTGTTTTAATGTATATAATTAGTCTTGGCACCGAAATGGCCTGTCGCCTCGTCAATGCTTCTGGCTCAGACGCCACGAAGCTGTGACGCTCTCACGAGGGCAGAGAGTGGGACGGTGATCGCCATGGGAGGCGCTTTTGTCAGTGGGTGATCGTTGAAAATAGATCATCAGAGTCACCCTGAGTCACCCTCCCATTTGGATTGTAAAGCCTCGAATCTATATGCGAAACTGCCATAGAATCTATATAAGTCTATACTTCCGGGATCGTCGTGGATCGGCCGATTGGTCCTAACACTCGGTCTCCACCCCGCTGATGGGATGAGTGGAGCCCAGATGACGGTGAGTGGTGGATCTTTCTGGTGATTGGAGCCCAAAACAGAAACGGATTTCAAGATTGGGAAACCCTCCACCTCAAAAGGACCAGTTTTACGAGGTCCTGCTGTAAACGACCCAGTTTTGGAGGGAAAGGATCTGAGATGAAAAGCTTCCCAGGTGCCCTGGTTGGCAGATGTTTGTTATTCATTTGAGTGGCTGTCAGCCTCAAATGACATTTCTGCACGTGTTGGATCCATGTTGACTTTTTCTGCAAGTGTTCCTAGCATCGTAGCGTCCACACTGCCCATGTCCGACCTGACCGTCTGTCAGACGCCCCGAAGTCGGTCGCCAGATGACATGGAGCTGCCAGGGCAGATCTCGGGGGAGGTCGAAGGGTGGAAAGGGCGCTTCGGTGAGGTTCGGTGGAAGGGATTCACCTTTGAAAGAAACCAGAAAGGGATCCTGTAAACAGGCCTTGGAAGCATCACAGCTTCCTTTCTATGATTCTAGATGACCATCCGAAGAGGATGCAATCCGAAGGGCGGAGCGAAGATTGGATGTGTGACCGTCCAGGACACCGTCCAGGACCCTACTTTCGATTGCCTGCCGGGACCCTACTACGAACAAATTGGTGTGAGGTTCTGTGGGCTTCAGTGTGGGCTTCTTGACCATATATAATTCCACATCTATGTTGGAGAACAGGTCGGAGTCCGGAGTGCCAAAAATTGAAACCCTGTGCAAAGTGCAAGCAGCTGTGGATTGATGCGACAGGAGCTTCTTCAAAAGAGACAGCACACAACAGCCAGAACACGCAAAAGAGAAACACCCCCCATCAAGATGACCTCTCCTTAGTGGGAAGACCGTCAAGCTTGTGACATGAAGCATGTGACATGAAGCATGTCACCGGTCACTGGTCACCAATTCAAGCACGTTGGGTGTCTGAACCGGTCACCGGTCACCGTTGGGCCGGAGCTCCACGGCCAGGACGACTCGGACGTCGTCACCGACACGGGCTTCAGTCGCGGCGTGAGCGGCAGCGGCCGGAGCGAGGCACGGAGGAAGGGTCGGGACGACCGCGGTAGACACGGGCTGCCTGGGTGGTTGGGAACTGCCTTATATATATATATATACCAGCACCCTCCAACAGGTCACCAATTGAGACCTCTTAGGGCCTTACAACCCTCCAAAGGAGACCTATATGCCTATTTAGAGTCTTAGAGTGGTAACTGGATCATTTGGGAATCAGAAGTTGTTGGCCCACAGTGTGGGCAGCATGTTGTGTCTTTTTGAGTGGGGGTAGCATGTATTAGTTTGCAGAAGGTGGATCGTCTTTGCTCAACATGGATGACCTGCCGGTTACGCAGTTTGAATAATTCTATTTCGTCTTTTCTCGTCAGTCTTTACTTCCATATTACAATATGCATGAATGTGTAATAAGTTATTTATCGTTTTGAGAGCCAGCGAGGGAGGGAGAAAAACAGGACGTGCCTCCCCCAGTCGAACCGTTCGCAGCCTGGGGGACGGTCCTGGCTAGGTGACCGTATAGGTCAGGTTGGTCCTGGCACAGTATGGCATCGATCCTTAAGGGCAGCAAGACACCAGTGTGGCACCGTTGTCCTTGCACCTCGTTCGACACAGCAAGTCCTGGGATGGTCGACAGGGAGCGTCGAAGGCCGCAACGTTTGTTTGCCAGCGTTTGTGCCACGCGTTTGGGCCGCCGTGACCTTAAGTGGCGCCACGCTTGTTTCGGATTTGATGTTGGTGGTCCAAGTGGTAGCACCTCCACTTCAAAATCATGCACCAGACCATTTGGAGACCATGCGTATATCCTTCCACGGTTTGTGCATGCACCAATTTCATGACCTCCGAATCTTCCAATGCACCCGAAACAACAGTATTTTGAACGATGTTCCTTTCACCCCATGCCAGGTGCCCATCGTGTGCCCGCCCGCGGCCGCGGCCGCGGCCACGCCGCACGCGCCCGCTCGGAACGGGTCCAAATGCTCGGGGCCACCGGGGCTGGCTGCTCGGTTTGCTTTTTGACGGTGGGATACCTTGAGTTTGTTTTGCGAAGCAAGTGTGGGCTCCTCCGGATCTAGTATTTGATAGTTCAATTCAACCCCCCCTCCTTGGAATTGATTTTTTTTTTTAACCACCCCCCCCCCCCCCCCCCCCCCCCTGACCGCTTCAGCCCGAAGTGGATCACCTCGACACCTCGATGGTTATTTGGTGTTGAGCAGTCTAAGCTTGGGGCAGTGTTTGAGTCCACGAAGAGACATGACATGTTGTTTTTAGTGTTTCTTGTCGTTGAGTCGTTGAGGACTATCATAATATCATATATATATATATAACTATAATATTCTATATAATAGCGATGTTTTGATCTTGCCGTGGCCCAAAACACCGCTATTTACAGAGTTTTGAACCTGCTGTCCAAAAAACAAAAAAAACCTGCAATTTGCGACGTTTTCAACAACATGGTCGCCAAAAACACTGCTATTCGCGAGTTTTTCATTTTCGCGCAAAGAACTCAAGCTTCGGCAGCAATGCACAATAACACTGCAAAAAAAAAACAATGTTTCTGCCCAACAAAAACGGCGAAAACCGTCACCCAAACAGGTCCGAAATCACAAAATCTGCCCCCCCGGCCTCCCGACAAGACCAAAATTGTGGAAAAACATATGCGTCTCAGAACCGAAAATCGAAGACCAAAAGTCAAAGAACACATGTTTGCTTGTTTCACTTTTCTCTTGCCGGCTGTAAAACACTGTGTTTTTTGAAGTCCGCCGTCGCGACCTATCAAAAACCCATTGTTTTCACTAAAAAATCCCCCCCCCCAGGTAAAACTGTACCTTACAGATCTTGCAGCTGTTTATGCCATCCGGATGATCACACCCTGAGCACCTTCGGTGCGGGCGGATTTTACACTCTTATTCTCCTCCCGCTGTCCTACCTGTCGCATATCCCTTTTCTCAAGTTACTGCATATGATTTATGTGTTTCGGCATGTTTTTGGGTGGCTGGGTGGGTTTGTTGCAAGGGGGTTGTGATTTCAATGGTTTATGTTGCAACCCTTTTTGACTGGGAATGAAGGTTGCAATTGACAAACGTGTTTGGGGAGAAACCAAGCAGAGCACCAAGTCGAGAGCATTTTCTCACATAAATTATCATTGACAGGAAAGATCAATTGGAGTGTTGGCCATTTTCCGTTGTGAGTCGCTGTGGTCTTCATTGGGTTGTCCCACTCTTTTGTGCTTGGTGCGTCAAGTCCAACTCGAGGGGTTTCTTCTCCGGGCAAATACCATTTCGCTCTGCAATGAGAAATGGCGCCACAAGTGGGACTTAGAGGCATGAATTCTTTGCCTATCTGTACTGTACACCCGTGGTAGGCAATCCCTGCTGGTCGGGAAGCATGTAACATCATGTAACCCAAGGACTGCAGCAGGCCTAAATTCGCCATGTTTGGCAACTTCTCCACCACAAGTTGATATTTAATTACAATTGGGAACGAACGGACGCTCAATGAACAAGCATGAATTCGGCATCATTCAGATATGTTCAACCCAGTGTTCAACCCTGGACCCTTTTCCTCGAAAAAACCAACCCAGCAGATCGACTTTCTTCCCCTTTCTTCCACCCAACATCCAGCTCGACCGCCCCCATGTGTTGGTTCCGGCTACGCTCACCTCGCGCGCCGAGGTGGATCGCTACCCCTCCAAGGCGTCGAAGAGCTCCATGTCCGAGCTGCATCGGGCCATCGACTGCTTCAGTTCCTTCAGGTCAGGCTGCGACCCGTCGGGGCGGAGACCGGAAGATCTGGGTCTCCCGAGTCGCGGTGAGGAACCCGTCGGGTTCACAGGAGGTTCTTGGGGCCGAGGTGGTCAGGCAAAAGAAATGGCGAACTGGGGGGATGTAGAGTCATAGTCCCGGTGCAAAAGATGACGGCGTCGGTCAGAACGATCAGGATAGCGCTCGAGACGAACCAGAAGCACAGCCTCCGTCTTCTCGATTTGGAGATGGACAAGTTGAAGAAGCTGCTGCCACAGGAGCCTTCATGAACTGGTTTGCCCATGTTCTCGCGTCGATCCCCGTCACCACTTTATTTTCAGCACAACTATAGAGTCTAGAGGGAACTAGGGTTTCTAATTGGTTTCGTCTCGGTCTAAGGCTTTGGTCTTTGGAGCCACTGGTTAAGTGCAGCAACCAAAATTGGATCTACAAGGTTTTTTAGGGGGTTTGGGTTGAATTCACCCTAACTGTTCTGAGCGCAACAGCCCTTGTTTTGTTCGGCTAGGCCTGCGGTTTGTCGGCATCTACAGATGGATGATTCACACAGCCATACAGAGTACATAGACCCCCCAAATAGCTATAGAATAGTATATAGATATCCTACTAACAATGTTTTGCCGCTATCTATTTAGGGGACCACTAGTTGTTGGCGTGTTGAAGTTTGATCTTGGGCGTGTCCCATTACCTGGAACAGTCGGCAAACAATTTTATCACTATTTTAGAGAAATGCATTGACTAACCATCATCATCCACTGTTGCAGGGAATGCCCGAAATATGTGTACTGTATATATGCATTATATTTATATACATACATGTCTGTAGATGGTAAAATATTGTGAATATTGTTTGGATCAACACTGGGCTCCTTCAAGTTGTTGATCAAACCATGACCCTAGCCTTCAAAAACCATTAGAAGAACGGTTGAGCTGGTGGTGTAACCGTTGAGCTGGTAGTGTAGTGCAAAACCCTTAGAAATTAATATGGTTCTTTGGTAAAACCCGACCATTAAACAATGGTTATTTGAATCCTAGGGATGATATACCCAAGTTTGATCAACTGATCGACAATGGGCTCTGTGGTTCGACGCTGATCGACATTGGGCTCCGATGTTCGATCAGGACCCGTCCCGAGCTTACAAAGAAAGACTCTTGAAGCCAGGCTGGGCGTTCTGTTTTCTCTTTGCCTTCAGGTGGATCTATGGGAATCGGCAGAATTTCGATGCGAGTTGGACACCCTGCGGCTTTCAAAAGTCGGGAAATATGGAATGTGCTAAGACCCGTCCAGTCCCGAGGTACAGGCTGACCAGAGAGACACGGTGAAGCGGATACTGATCATACTGGGCGCGCTGATGGTCCCGGTGATGGCCCTTCCGGGGTTCACGAACTCAACAGATGCGCAACAGAACCAAAGGCTGGTCTTGTAAGATGCACTGCTGGTCTAATGAGCTGGCCTTTGCTCCCATGTGTTGGTGGGATGGTAACGTGAATGGGAAAACCATCCCAGAATTCATGACAACCCGCAAGCGGACGGTGTCTTCCACAACTGCTCTTCGTTGCGTCCGCTGGGTCCACGATCCTCGAAATTCCCGTTTTACGAAATGCGCGCTGTGAAATTCAGCGCTGTCCAGCGTCGAAGTCCGAAAACTCCTCTCACCCCGGTGGAAGTCGTTGTTCAGCTCCAAGAAAGGTTGAGAGACCATATATAGGACACTGTAGTGGTACATATGGGATGCGCTCTAGGGCTGTTCAACCTCTCTTGCTTTGTCAGGCGAAGCCATGCCCCGAACCTCAAGAACGTTGAGAGCTTCGGGCGTCGGTTCTCCCTCCAGTCCTCGCACGAGCAGTGCCGCCCTGCCGCTTCCAGCAGCGGTGCCTGGTGGTCATTGTTCGTTCGGGACGGAGCGATCGAAAACAGGATGACAGAATGGCTCCAGATGCAGTATCATGTCACCAGTAGGTTTGAGAGGAGGCTTTTCTACCTCACTACCTCATCATAACTGGTTCAATTCCCAAGTGGTGGTACCCTGAGACTCACTAACATGGTCGCAGCCGCTTTCGCGCGGGGTGCGAAAGACACGGCTGCTTCCTGGCAATTTGGTTTTGACATGTTGTTGTAGCTTCTTTTCTTGCTATACTCTTTGTGCTTCCTGGATGGGTGGCGCGGAAAGCCCACCTATCGCCAGACTCGACTGCTGGCATGAGTGACAAAAATGGACCCTTGGATGACTAGTTTCCTCTACGAACACGGTAGTTTCCGCTTCCATGTTAGTGAGTCGGAGTGCATACAAGTCGGTTGCCCAAGGGTTTTTCTAAAATGTGTTTTGATGTTTTTGGGATTTGAGCCGGGTTTGAGCGGGGATGCCGTCTTCGAGCTGTGGGAAGTCACGCCAGCAGTTGTACAGTATCAAGCAGTTCTTGTTTGTTTCTTGGTGGTGGCTAGTAGCTATAGTTGCCTTTTCTTTGGTGAGAATGGGAACAAGTTGAACATATATGATTTGGTTGAACTGATGAGGTAGCAACAATTTTGGCAGTAGAGAATTGTTGGAGGTGTTTGAGGTTCTCTATTGGTTGCTTCAGGGTTGCATGCTGTTCGATGGTGTAAGCTCAGATCTGGGACTGCTTGAGATCTAGGATGTCTCAGGCACCCAAAGAAGAGGGACTAGCTGGCGGGTCCTTCACCTGAGGTGAACCTGTGAACCTCCTTTGAGATTTTGTAGCAGTTCTTTCACATAATGCATGTCTCTTGTTGTTTTGGAAGGCTTAGAATATAATCCCTGTGCACTTCCATTTTGGAATTTCAGAGCCATAGCAGTTTTGTTGCCTTCGTCGCCTTCACCACTTGGCCATCTTCTGGTGACCAACCCTGGGTGTGGGTGACCGTCCACAAAGAGATTGGCGAACGTCTCGTGGCTATCGTACAGCCATATATATAGTCCATATAATGTATATCAAATATTGTAGGTGTTCGTTTTGTAATGTTTTGTTTTGTGTATTGTTTTGTCTTGGGGGTCTGCAGGGTTGAACTGCTGGTGCAAAACTGTGTCCGCAGTGGAAGTTATCCGTGGAGTTTCTCACCAAAGAAGCTTAGCTTCAAAACACGACCACCACCAAAAAGGAGAATGGTTCGCGGCACTGCCTTGCAAAACTTCACCAAAACAAAAGGTTTGAACCTCGCATGTTAAATTGATGGTGTCAATCAACCTCTTAACCCAGCCTCTTGGGAAGTGTGCGCAGGCCGGTTGGATGCTCTCGGTCGGAGTCGTGCTCAAAAGGCCCCCCCAGGGCATAACCTCGAGATCTCTTCAAAGAGATTCATCGATAACACCTGATAAATCTCTTATCACATCCTAGAAGTTGTTTCCGAGTTGTCAAGGAGGCTTGGGAGAGCTGACCACTTCTCGCTACCCTAGATCATTAGAGCTCTTAGAGCTGCGTTCACCTCCCAACCCGTTCATTCCCCTCCCAACCTCGCCTTTTCCACTGCCTGATCCCAGGCAGTGGAAGCCGGCCGCCACTTCGTGGACTCGTCCCCCGCCTCCCCGGCCTCGCCGGTGTCGCCGGTGTCGCCCGCCTCGCCGTCCGGGTCGCCGGCGCTGGCGGCGCCCAAGCTGCCACAGCGGCAGCGGCGAATGTCTTGGATCACCAAGCAGGCGCCTTCGACGAGGGATGACGCTGCTGAGGTGATGGTTTCTCATTCAATCCTTCTTGTTTGGAATGGTCAGATAGTCGAAAGTTTCAGACTAGAGTTGGTTCAGCCAGGGGTTCGTGGCTCGGGTTTGCAGATGCTTGCAGTCAATGTCAACACCGGATTAGTCAACCCGGGCCCCCCCTTCAAGGTCAACAAGGTCAACAAGGTCTGAGATTGGAGGTAGTGGAGAACCACATCCCTGTAATAAAGAGTAATAAAGATGATGACCTGATGATGGATGATGAGATGAGATGACCTGGACCTGATGATGGACGATGGTTGATGGGATTCTGTGTCATGAGAGATTGAACCATGAGAGCCATGAGGGCTCTGAGTGTATTGGCACAAGTTTGATAAGATATCAGATAGGATTGATCAGAGAGCGATGTCAATGGGTGATACTCTCTTTGATAGGGAAGAATTGGACAAGGAAGAGGATTGCAGGATGAAAGCATTGCAATACAAGAATGAGGCCAGAGGGTGGGATTGATTAATAGGGGGAGGGGGTCCGACTATTGGGGGTAGGGCCTGCGTGAGGTACCCTTTGTGAGCTTGAACAAGTTAAGATTTTGATAGAGTTGTCACAAGGGAAAATGAAAGACTTTTGCTAGAGAGTTTTGGGGTTTGGGGGGGGTGGTTGGTAGCATGAGCCTTGAGGAGAAGCCATCAAAAGGATTGGTGAGCAGGTTGAGGCAGTTGAGAGGTGGTGGTGAGAATCAGGAAGATGAGGAGATGAAGATTTCGAACACTAGCAAAAATAAACATAGATAATTATAAATACAACAGTAAACTATGTTTTTTTCTGGGGCAGCTGGGATTGATTAATAGGGAGGCTTCTGCTCAGGAAAGCATTATTAGGGTGATGCCAGGGTGAAAATCTAGGTTTTAAATTAGTTTAGTATTGGGGGGGGCCGAGCAGGGATTGATCAATAGGGGGTGGTTACTTAACCCTATGTCAACATTAGTTGCTGTCTGTGGTTTGCATGTGACGGCTTGGTTGCTCGATGCCACATGCCTGAATGAGTGCCGCAAGTTCAACTTGCCGCAAAAAAATCGCCAACCAAGAATGTTTGGACTACATTTAGAGACTTGACACCTGCAACAAAACAACAAAACTGTTCAATCCCAAAACCGTTCAAGTCAGGAACCAATATTGGACAGTCAGGACCCTCAAGTGTAGCTGAAATCGGGTTCACCAGGGGCAGGCGAAGCAGGTGCTGGCGACGTCAACCATCTCATCCACAGTTCTCAAGGACAATCAGGAGTAATATGGTGGATTCTCATTCAAGTCTAATAAGTAGATTCGTCAAGCAGTGTGCTAAACACGCACGTAGTATTCGAGCCTTTTCAAGGCTGATAGCATCATTCTCACTAGAAGGACACCGGGGATTGGTGGATTGTTTAAATGATGCTCCCAAGCTGTTTCCAAACTCCTGTGGTTCTTTCGTGGTGTTCTTCTTTACACAGGGCCCAACGGGGGCTTGCCGGCCTGCCATGCCCCCCTTGGGGTGGAATCGCTGTCCTCCCTCCTCCCAGGGCACTGGATTCTTGGACGCGAAAGCACTGCAAGAGCTCACCGCTGAGCACAACCTCTCCTCCGAGGAGTCTTCACCCTCCGGTGACAACCGAGGCACCACTTACAGCCACCTGGCTGCTTTGCGAGTCGAAGACAAGCTGGCCCCGAGGTGGGTTTTTTCGTTCCCAAAAGCGGAGGCCGGGTATGGCCCGGTGGAACCCGGAAACAGGTGTGAGTGTGTTGTACTTGTTCACCCTAAATATAATAATATTGCAGATGCATAGAGTGCAAGATAGTATGCATATAAACATGTGCGATAATATATATATATATATTGTTCATAATTGCTCTTGTATATAGTAGCTCTCGTTGTAGACGTGGTTGGCAAACAAGGTCCAAGCACACGAAAGGATCGCACGTTTTGTCGCGAGCGAAATGTCTGGGGCGTTTCCGTCAAGACTCAAGGGCCCTTATGGCGAATGGATATGGAAAATGGGTGCATGTGACAACTGGCATCAAGACAGGGGGAGAGTGATCTCAATCCGCTTCCTGCCATTTGGTCTACATTGGAAAACATTCAAAAATTTCATCCGTAGCCATGACTCTCATTCATCTTCCTTTTTCATCGAGCTTCCTATCGAGCTCCTCGGGCCCTTTCATTCACGTTCTGCTTTCATAGCAGCTCACGAATCTCCAAGCTCCATCCATCATGGGCGGCGACATCTCGCTTGTTCTGTGGTCGTAGCTCAGGCGGGTTTGCTGCTGTCGATCTACCCGAAGACCTTCCTGGAAACGATTCCTTTCAGCTTGATGAGGGTCACTAGAACTTGAAGAACGAAAACCCTCTTGCCGTGCTTCTCGGAGTTCCTTTTCTTTTCTTCGGGCTTCAAGGTGCAGCTCCATCAAAAGGTTGAAGTGAGCGTTCAGGAATCGGTGCCATTGCTTGATCTCTTCGTCGGAAGTGGTGGCACAACTCGCCAGCAAATTGAGTTTGAGGTACTCCTCTCGCCTCACAGCAGGCAGCACATGCTGCAGGACGTGTCCCCTCATCTGAGCAGACACTTCAGGTGTCCAGAGGACCTCATTCGTCCATCTCCATTTTGCTTGTCCAGGTTCCATGCGAACCTCTTCATAGAGTGCCATCCATCGATCAGATGTTCTTTGATCCAACTCCGGTCCGTCATCTCGCTCCTCCACAATGTCCATGGGCTCAGCTTCCGCATCCAAGCCGCCATGGCGCGTTTCGGCAGCATTCACCTCCAAATTCCTTAAGTCGACATGGCTCGTTTCTACCGCCGGGATGTCCTCATATTCAATGACTCCCTCATTGGCAAACATGAGGCACCATCGCTTCACATGCTGGAGGAACACATAGATCATGTCCTTGACCAACCATGAAGAAACACACATCCCCAACATGGCGAACAGAAAAATGACCAATGCCGTGTTTGTGAGAGGTCTATCATCAGGGTCACCCTCTTCTTTGGCTTCTGCCGTCACAAACTCGGAAGCCAGGAGTGCCACCGCGCACTTAGCCGCTTTCTGCCACTCGTCACCACCATGTCCTTGTCGGAACCTGTGAAGGTAGAAGTGTCGACGGCTGCAGTACCGGTTCGCTTCTGAACTGGCATCTCGCTGTTTCGAACATCCTGGTAGTGCACATACTCCTTGTTCTTTCACCTCTGCTTTGTCCACGAAACATATCGGGCCATCGAACAGCTCTTCTGCAGCTTTCTCGTACTCCAGATTCTCCTTCATGCGTGACTCATGGCTCACCTTCTTGGCCGCGACGAAGTTGGGGTCGTACTTCAAAGCATGCACTCCTCTGGACAGCGTGTGTGCCAATGCATCTTTTGCTGATGGTTTGGTGAGTCCATCAGCCACTTGCTGCATTGAATTGACCCATCGAAACTTTCCAAGGGCAGCTTGCATTCTCTCCTTCAAGATGCAAATTTCTATTGCCGTGCGGCGCTCCGATAGCTTCAATCCAGGAGTCACTGAACCAGCACTGTCATAGAGAGCCTTCGCATCGGTGATCACTGGGGAGTCTTTGAACATGTGCATCGTCTCATCGAGCTGAATCGCTACATAGGGGTTCACCATCGAGGCAAAGAACACTTTTGCCCACTCCAGCTCGTCTACTGCGATGGTCGCAGACTGGGCCTCAGCCGATAGAGAACTTCGGCACATTCTCACCAATTTCTTGCTTGCCCAATCCACCACCGTCAATGGGAAAGGCGTTTCGCCGGAGATCTCGCTGTCATTGGCAAGGAACATCAACATGCCTCCCTGTGAGCTTCCGTCGGGGCGGACTGACCAAGCGGCATCACAGTAAACGCCCAGCCGAAGATCCTCGATCTCTCCATGGCAGCGAATCGTGAACACGTAGTCCTTGACTACCTCCTTCATGAAGCGAAGACATTTGTTAGCTTCCAACATGTCCTTGACCATGGGGCGATTGATGTTCGCTTGGAGGATGCTGATCGTAGCTGCCGCCTGTGGAAGGCACTGAGTAACTGGCCAAGACATAGCACCCACAAGTGCTCGTAGAAGCCGGTGTTCTTTCTCATTGCAGTAGTCGTCGTGCATCACCTTTCGGCTCTTCTCCATACTCAGGGGCTTGATCTTGTTGACGTACTCCTTCAGTGAGACTGTCAAAACCTCAAAGTCCGGAGATTGCTTCAACTCAGCACCGCAGAACCTCATCTTTTCACCAAAGTCCCAAGATCCAAACCTGAATCTCTTTGACAAGTGATGTACTCGATGTTGAAAGGTCTCGCATGCTCCGGCAGCATCCCACTGAATGTCCTTGAGGCTCTGGACCCATTCTCCTGCACCGAGGAAATCGTCAACATGTAGTCCCAACGCTCCATCCACTGTCCACTGTCCACCATTCTTCTCAAACGTCAGGAATGGCTGATCATCCTGTCCTGCTGGTCGGAGGGACAGGTAGAGACATCTGTCAAGTGGATGGTTGATCAACCCGAGCTCGTTTACCAAAAAATCGTTGGCAGTTTCATTCCACTGACGAGGGGCACGAACGTCACCAAAAGCAGGTTTGGTTGCCTTCAGAATCTCATCACTTCGCAACCCCATCAATCTCTCCAGCCTTCTTCGCATCTCAGCAGGGGGCTTTACGTAGATCCTCATCGTCTCGTCGATGGAGTCCGATTGCATGAAGGCCGACTTGACGTCTGCACACCAGACCTTCCACCTCCGATGGACTGCCCACACCATGAGCGTGATGCGTCCGAGACGACTCAGGGTTGGCGACTCCTTGACCAGGTTCTCCGTCAGCACATCCTTGTGACGAAAACCCTGCAAGATCACTCGGGCGTTCGCCTTCTTCCCCTCTGCCGTAGGCTTCCAGCGCTGCAGGAACCTGGCGGGAACTACCTCACCCTCTTTGGCCTCGCTTTCAGGCACTGCTTTCCAAGCTGCGTTCTCGATCCAGACCATGAGTGCAGCATCTTTGGCTTCATCGAAAGCTTTGCGTTCTTCCGGCGTGAGGTACTTCTCGTTGAAGCTCTCCGCCATGAGCAACTCATCCTCCTCCAGCGGTTCCTGCGCATCCATGTACCTCTGGAAAACAGGATCATCACCTTGTACAGGGGGAAGTCCGTCAAGCTGTCGAGAGGCATTGTACGAACTCAGTGCAACTGCTCTTTCGTCTCGATTCGGCGGACTTCGAGATCTTCCTCGAGGTGGCTCGAGTGGCCTCTCTCCCTGCTCCTCCGTCATCTTCTCAACCTTTGCCGGTCTTCCGCCATCATGACTCGTGGCTTCTCTCTTCTGGCCGGCTGACATCTTTTCGTCTGGTTGGGTTTGTGCGGTAGCTTCTGCCGCGGCGTGTGGTTCGTGTGCGTGCTGGAGCTGTGGTTCTTGTGGCTGCAGCTGCTGTGTTTCTGCTGTGGCTGTACCAGACTCTTCTCTTCCTTGCTCTATGCATTCCTTTTCAATCGACTCTTCTTGCTCACCAGGTTCGGGTTCACCGTCTTCTGGAGGGATGGGATCATCTCCTGTTGCCTGAGGTTCGCCTGATGCGTCAGCTAAAGGTGGGTCCCCCAGGAGGTCAAGAAATCGTATAGGTCCCCGAACCGGCTTCAGAGCATCTCGGACTGTCTGTTGCACCGAGGAAACGCGAGCAGTAGAGGGAAAGCTCTGGAGGCGAGCTTGATGCTCACGAGGGGCCTCTGCACGGATATGCTCGGGTGCCACACGAACAAGCGCTGAGCCATGAGCCAGCCAATAGACCGAAGGGGCATGGCCAGCGTCAGGACAGTCACGAGGAGTCATGGAGCACACTAAAGCGGGTCCTCGCCATCGGCTCACGTCCAGTTTGCTATCCGCTGATCTCCAATAGTAGACCCAATCACCAGGGTAAAAGACTTGGTTTTCAGAGCGGCTCTTGCTCAACAATGCTTTCCTCAGTGTCTGGCTGTGATTGGCACTATAAAAAGCTTTGGCAGCGTCCAATCTCAAAGATGCTAACTTCTGGTACTCCGCGGTGGGCTCTGCCTGTTGAGCTAATGGCTCGTCCATCAGTCCTTTTTGTGATGATGTCTTGCCATAGACGATCTGGGCTGGTGATGAACCGTGAACGGATCTCAGATGATTTCGTGCGTTGCATGCCACTGGAACTGCTACCTCTAACTGCAGCTTCTCATTCTCCTGCTTCATCTTCAAGAGTTGTAATCGTCTCACGGCATGCAACCTCTCGACTGTGCCCATTCGATGATGAGCCTCCTTAGGCACCAACACCAACTTGATTCCTCGATCATCCATGTACTGGAGGAACTGCTCTGACATGTGGGCTCCTGATGCATCTGTTCGAATCTGCTTGGGGCATCCGAACGCGTTGATCCACTGATCGAGAACTGCCAGTTCTTCCTTCTCCGTCTCTGATTGCACCACCACGTTCATCTCATAGCGAGAAAACAGGTCAATGACCGCCAGAATGCGCTTCTTTTCTTCATTCCACTTGATGTGGAAGATGTCCATCTCCAACATCTCATTGAAGAAGCTTGTCTGAGGAAGGGAAGCTGGCTTGGGCATCTTCTTGTCTCTAAAGTTTTGGCACGTGTCACACTTGTACACCTTTGCACATCTCACCAATGCCTCGTCAAGTCCAGCTTCTCGAACGGCAGCAACCAGTCTGTCTCGTCCTGGATGACCCAATTGGCGATGTAGCTTGTCAATCACCATCATTGCCTTCTTGTTGTGTGTTTTGACCATTTCATCATCCGGACCAATGTCCTCATCCTCCATCTTCTTGTCAGTCTCCTCGGCCACCATCACGTCCATAGCCATGATCTTGGCTATTTCCTTCTTCCTCCAAGATTCTTCCATGGTTGCATAGATAGCCTCCGCAGCTCTCTCCACGAAGCCATGCTCATAGTTTTGCATTTCTCGCAGTTCCTTGGACTTTCCGTCCATAGGCACGTGACGGCCTTCGCATTGACATGCAAGATTCAATGCCTCTGCCACCTTCCTGGAGCTGGTCCTGATACGAGTTTGTTTCCGTACTGGTCCACAGCAATGACCATCGTCAAACCATAGTCCAGTCCTGCATCTGTTGCAAACTGCCTCGAAGTAGCCCTTCATGGATTCCATTGTCTTCGTCTTCCAGGAATCAGCTCCATGAGGGTGCTCACATGCGTAGTTGTTCTCGTCCTCCTTTGTGATCTTTGCCACTTCACTCACCAAGGATAGGTGTGACTCTTCTTCACTCCTTCTTTCCTTCATCAACTTCTTTCTTTGGGCTTCTGTTCGTAGATTCAACCTCTGGATGGATGACCACTTCCTGCATGGCGGTGCGATCCACACGAAGTCGGGGCTAACCTCACGTAGCAGGTCGGCAAACTCCGCTCTCACTCCTTTGTCCAAGAAGTTCCACTCAGGCAGCGAGAATCCTGACACTTCAACATCCTCATATCTCCGAGCTAAGTGCACCGACAAATTCCCCTGGTCTACATAGACTTCGAAGAACTTGAGAATCCTCTTTTCCTTCAGTCGGCGAACAGTCTCGGCAGCAATGCTCTCGGCCTCAAACACTTCTTGGCAGAACTCCTCAGTCGCACCGTTTTCCTCCATGGTCGGCTCAATGTCCCAAATGCCGAGAGGTCCTTCATCAATCAGGGCAACCTCATCCATTTGGACACATTCATCCAAATCCAGCACTTCCTCGAACTGATAGTAGGTCTCCTCCTTCGCGTTGTTGCTTCGATACATCATCAAGTCCAGCAAGAAATGTCCACGGCCATTTCTCTCAGGTTGGAACCAATCTGAACTTCCGATCTTCATCAAGCCATTCTTGTAGTCGTGGATGACTCCCCATTCCTCCAACGTGGGCCTGGCAAGAAGGAAGGGTGTTGCACCTGGCACCACAGAAGCTGTGATGTCCAACATCTGTCCATGCACGACCGCCGTGAAGTCAACCTCATAGTTGGATGTCAGTGTCTCGCCTCCTCCAAACTTGAACTGTCTCTGTATCTGGCGAGACACAATCGGCTTCGTTCCTTTGGTTCCGTACTTCTCAAGCCACTGGTGCCAATTGTTCTCTCCTACTATCGTTCTCGTGGCTCCACTGTCCACAATGGCTTTACCCACTTCGGTCACCGTGAAGAAGCACTGCTCCATCTCCTGGTCCATGACCTCTGATCCAATCACCTCAGCCATTGTGTCACACTCTTCAACCATGGTGACTTCCTCAGGCACTTCCTTCACTCCCTGATTTTGGCTTCTATATCGTTTGAACCGGGGTCCATGTTGGGCAGTGGATCCCGAGAAGGTGGACTTCTCACTTGATGCCGTCGTTGATGCTGATGACACAGGTCCTTTTCGAAGTCCGGACATCGGGCGTCGATTGAAGGGGGTTCGTCTCATGAATCCTCCGCCTTTGCTCTTCCCCTTTCCTTTTCCTTTGTTGTATGGGCTCGATTTTCCTTTTCCTTTGCTCTTTCCTTCACCTTTGGAATTTCGAAAAGCTCCCTTCTCCGCTTCCGGACCAAGCGCCACGATGGGGTAAAAGCCTCTGGAAAGCGCCAACTCCTTCATGCGTTTCCGGCTCTCGATGTAGGACACGTATGCCTCATCTGCTTGATCCATTGCATCCTCCAATTCCTCCGGGACGTCGTCCTCGTCCTCTTCAGCCTCGAAGACTTCATCTTCATACCATTCGTCCCAATCATCTTCTTCATACCAAATCTCCTCTTCATCCTCATAGTAGTTCTCCTCCTTGACACTAGAGGGATTGGCGCGGCCGAGGTCCCGTGCATTCGGACGATGATCTCCTCCGAACATTCGGACAAGCGCCTTGCTCACCTTATCGTAGTCCAGATCTCCACCACACATTGCCTTCAACTGCACATGGGTCCAGCGTGGTACTCCTGCTCGGGTGAGTAGATGCCAACCGGACAGGAGTGGTGGCACTTCGACATTCACCTCCTTCATACGCTTCAGCAAGGTCTTGTGGCGAATGAGGTACGCCTGGAGCTCTTCTCCTTTGTTCCTTTGGAAGTCGCTGAAGAACTCATCGCACCTCGAAGGGACTTCAATCAAGTCTTCATACTGGTACAAATCGTCGAGGAGGCGGAATACCAACTTGAATGGGGCATCCGATCGTTCCACCTCGTCAAAGCTCAACTGCTCTGTCGCATCCCATGCCACATCCTTCAACTTGCTAATCACAAGGAATGCTCCCTCAATGGAAGTCTCACGTCCTCTCCGATCACATTGTCGCTGGAACAACTCCAACCTCCTTCTATAACTCCTGTAGGTCTTCTGCGTCAAACCATCTGAGGTTGGACAGGCTTTCGCAAGGCCTGAATCTAGTCCTCCACGTTGATGTGGGGTGTAGGGCATCTGGATGGGGCCGTCTGTCTCCCGCTCGACATTGGTGAACAAACCACCGCCACCTGTAGATGGCACGGCACCGGCAGCACCTGGAGCTGAGGTTCGCGCCCTGCGAACAGGCGTCCTCCGAGGACTTCCGCGGTCCATCCCGGACATAGGGCAAAGAACTTATCTTTCACCGTCAGGAGGATCACTTGGGCAACTCCAAGGAAGAAGGGCACCGAACTCAAACTCTACCTGGAGCGTGTAGAGCTCCGCTACCAATCTCGTTGTAGACGTGGTTGGCAAACAAGGTCCAAGCACACGAAAGGATCGCACGTTTTGTCGCGAGCGAAATGTCTGGGGCGTTTCCGTCAAGACTCAAGGGCCCTTATGGCGAATGGATATGGAAAATGGGTGCATGTGACAACTGGCATCAAGAGTAGCATGTTTGATACTAGGCAAACATTGGACCCACAATCCTTTGGCTTGGATTTGGAACCATATCCGTCATAGCGAAGTTGACTTTATATAATGACTTCAAATCCTCGATGCAGCCAACAGGGATCAAATTTGAACACCGCTTTTACCAGGTTGAAAACCCGACTTCGAAACAAAATAACTTCTCTAATTTGCACTTTTCCTACGTTGTCCAGTTCCTGTACTGATGGACATGAGGGGCACCTACGGGTGCAGCATTTATATCTTGAGTGCTTTTTTCTCACCCCCGTACCTATGGCACGCAAGAAGAAGAAGAAGAAGGTTGATTCATGTTTTTGGCCTCATTGACTGCCCAAAGCACCTAAAGTAAGTTGACTTCCCGAGCCCTCCTGACCTGGATATCGTGTCCATTGCAGCGTGTCGTTGGCGATCCATCTCCCTGTTTCGAGAAATAGAGATTCACAGAAGTTCCACATCCGATTCTATTCTTTCACCAAGTCGAAAATCAGTCTGATTGTTTTTCCCTTATACGTCTCTTGATCTCATTGACTATATATTGCAACATGTTTATTTCCATGACATCCCGTCGATAGTACTACTGTATATATATATATGCCAATATATGGCCCATATAATCTACTGTGTCACACTTTTTTCTTTTTGGCTCAGCAGATTTGCCGTTATTTCTTTAGGGGGCACGCCCGCGTCGCATCGGCTCTCATCTGAGGTAGTGAGGCCACGGGCAGGAGCAAAGCCAAAGTCAAGTCCGACGCGAAGAAGAACAGCACCAGTGGCATGCGCCTGGAAAGCAACAATGGCTTGGGAACTAGCTCCAGTGGCAGCCCTTGGGGTGCGTCATGGTGCGTCTCCAGTCTCGTGAGTGGATGTGACGGTAGCTTTTCCTTGGGGCCACTGATCGGACCTTGTCACACGGTGTTCTCCAGATGCTGGGGTGGAGTGGCTGCAGTGCTTTTTGGGCGAAGAGGTCCACCAAGGTGAGTCGGTCCAACTGGGAGAAGAGCAGTAGATCTTTGGTTTGACACTCGACATTCCCTACTAGGGATCCAGTCGTACCTTCTCAGTAGGTACTTGGACCCTCCAAACCTGCATAACAGTGTCTCCAATCCCTATAGGAGATTGAGCCCAACCTCTCACACACACGACTTACCACGACTTTGGACGGAACAATTTGGGCCCCAAAACCACCGCACTGACCAGCACCACCAGCACCACCGGCGACCCAACCGAACACCACCGGAAACTCCGTCATGTTCGTCACCGCAGGCTCGCGCGCTTGGACCCCGACCTCGCCAAAGATGCCATCAGGGATCGGGCGGCCGCAGAGTTCGGGAAGAAGCGCGTGGAGATCATGAAGACGGAGGGTCGGCTGCTTGGACTGCCTAATGATTCTCCGCTGAAGGGCAAACTGCTGGTGCGGGGTCCCACTGCGTGAGTGGCCCTCGTCAAATGAGTTGGGTGCAAGCGATATTCGACGGAATTGAACTGGCATGCGTGTGCTGGTGTGTTCCGGTTCCGGCCAGATGGAATCAAAGTGCCAACTGAGGCTGGTTCAATTGGCCACACATCCATTCTTTGAGCGAATCACTTTGGCGGCACCCTGGCAGTGGATTAAGGGCACCCGGGCAGGTGTTCACATTCTCTCCTGGTGGTCCTTGCTGTTCGACACTGGCAGAAGAATATCAGGGACCATCCTGAATTAAGGTTTGCTCATTGGTGGGCAATGATGCCGGACAAACTGAAGTAAAGGAAATTCCTGAACTCAAATCACCCAAAGACCATTCCTTTGATAGTCGACTGGACTCCCAGGGTATATGGTTGTGAATCCATTTTCCTCAAGTTTGACACACCAATGTTCACATCGGCAACATCATGTGCCCGCACGGCACCCGCCGATCAACAGGTCACCACCTGCCGATCAACAAGAGGAGACCTGTGTACCCGATCGGACCCATTCAGAATGGGTGGGGACATACCGTGGGTGCGGTGGGGAAGAAGCTCCACGGCTCCACGGCGTTCCGGCTGTCCAGGCTTAAAAGACCAGTTGAAGAAAAAAGCGGGCAACAAGCTGTGGAGAAGTTTCGGGAAGTGCCGAGAAATCAAAAAAAGAACACGACATGACATGTCGTGTTTTCCGCATTTTCCGTCCAATTCAGGTGATCCTTTTCAATGCTGCTTGGATCGGCATCGATATCGAGCTGAACAAAGCCGAAACTCAGCTGAGTAGAGAAGCTGTGAGGAAAACCCCTCAGCTGAGGGCTCGCTGTAGGCTTTGGAAGTTGGAGCTGGATCGATGTCCCAAAGACTCCAAAGACACAAATCAGGTATCAGATGGTATCAGACTGTGGTATTTGGTATCGAACGGAGCTCGTAATTTCTAGCAGGATATATATATATATATACGTATATATATATACATATTGTTTGCATGTTTATTGGTCTTAGGATGTGTTTTAGGATAATTTATATTTGTGATATAATTTGGCGTATGGTTCCCAAACTTTGGCACCCAAATATGACATGTACGCTCGGAGTCCAACGTCAGTGATTTGGGCTGTTGACCAGATCTTCTTCCTTGAGAGTCTACGACGGGTCCAGACCACACGATTCGAGTCCAGACTCTCGAAGTCACGACCTGGTTTTGTTCAGTATGATTCGTATTTTCCCCAGGGGTACCCTGGGTACACCCCCTTCTGGTCAAGTATGTATTACTTTAAAACATATATTATATATATATCACTATATACTATATATTATATATATATATTCGTCCCGGTTCGTCAAGGAAATTCAAGATGAAGTCTTTGTTCACAAGGGGTACTCAATGAAGATCCACAAGTAGGATGGTCCAGGAGTGACTTTTGAACGGTGCTTGTAGCTTGCTTTCCTCGTGGAACGTTTGAGGACCATTGCCGAAGGTCTCGCTGGACCATTTGCCGTTTCGTATAGATATTGAATCCAACAATCCAGTGTTCCACCAGTGGGCTCTCATGTTTCCTTGACCGCTGCGTGCCCTGAGAGGCTACGACACAGAGCATGTATGTTTTTTTTCCTGTTGCAGATTCATCCCTTTCCACCATGCGAATGTTGGTTATATTGAAGTGACGATGCTGTGTCCTTTTTCCATCTTTTTCCCCCAAACACCCGCCGTGCCCCATGCCCCGTTCGGAGTGCCACATCTGCGCGCAGGCAGAGCTCGTTCGTTCGGTTGTCGGTGTCGGCTCGGTGTCGGCGGGGATCAGCTGATCAGTTTCCACCCACCACAGCTGACCTGATCAGCTGACACCTGATCAGTGGAACAGACTGAAACATTGAGATCAGGGCTACATTTTCTCGGACGTCCGTCCGTTGGATATGGATCATGGATCGTAAAGAAAAGGTCCGGACGGACCGGAGTGGTGGGTTCATTTCGGCGGGACTTTTGCTTTGCTTTGCTTTGCACCCGAACAGATCAGAGAGAGATGTTTGAATTGAACGCTTTGGCTTGACTTGACTTTTGCTGAACCCATTGATGCAAGATGATGCAAGAAAGGGATTTCTAGTCAAATACCAGCCATGTTCCACCCAAAGCCAACTGTTGCCTCAGAAGTTTGTCTTAACCAAAGCGGCCTCAGATTCTTGTGAGGATATGCTTTTCAATGCCGATCCTGTCTTCATCATTATGGAGAACCTCTTTTGCGTGTTCTTTTTGGCGGAGCTCGTCATCAGGCAGAAGACCTTTTGTGCGCATCAGGTAACGTTGTTGAAGCTGTGTGTTTTTGGGGGGGGCCTCATGGAGTGTGATTTGGGGCCCTTGTAGGGCCGGCAAGCCGGGGCCGGCAAGCCGGGGCCGGCTAGAGGACGCCAAGTCACTTGCTCGTTATGTACAAGCAGTATGCAATTAATATAAAGGGATCATTCTCCGCATGGATCCGCGATGGATCGACTGCTTCAAGGATGTTTTTTGGTGGTGCAGAACAGCTGTCGGGGTTGCAAGATGGTTGCACTCATCCAGTTTCTCTGAATGGTTCAAGGCAAGGACGCAGTATGGCGATGAATCAGTAAGCTGAGAGGAGCGGTTTTTCCCCATGACTAAGTCTGACTCATGGAGTCACCCATGGTGGCTCACGCTTGGAGGTTTGGCATGTTCAAGAAGACAGTGTACATCTTCAAGGACATTTGGTTCATGGCTGATCTGATTTTGGTTTCTTTGATGCCTCTTGGCCAGCAAGTGGTGCCCAGCAAGACCTTGTCCGAGCCATGCCTCGCAAGAGAGTGCCCTTTTGGGGGGGGCCTTTTGGGGCCGTTCGATTGCAAGGTGCGCAGAAGGTGTCCAACAACGAAGATGTCGATCTTTGATCTCATGGCCGTGTTGGGCACCAACATGTGACTCACACATCTGGCGGTGTGGCCAATCCCACGGATCACCTTGACAAGACCGAGTCGCCGTCCTCCTCGCCCGACTGCTCAGGGTGCTGGAGACCTGGTTGGTTCCCGTCATCGACGCCATCACCGGTGAGGGCGGCGGCATCTCCAGTGGTGCCTCCGTCCTGCGAGTGGCGCGTGTCATGCGCGTGCTGCGCACCGCGCGGATGGCGCGACTGGTGCGGCTCATGCCCGAGCTGATGATCCTCATCAAAGGACCCATGGCGCGACCCAGAGCGATCGGGTGTAGAGGAGAATGCATGGTGTACGGTTTTCCATCATCCTGGTGGTACATGGGGGTACCACTCATTGAGCTAGCAGCTGGTCACATGGGCTCTATATGACTTTATGCTTTTGTTCACGGCCTCCTGGATGCTTCTCCCTTTTTCAGGCTGTTATGGCCAGCCGTATGGCGATCATGCTTTGCCAGGAATGATGGTTGCCTTTCGATCTGTGTGGCTTGGAACTGAAATGCTTCTCACGGAACGGTGCGCTTCACACGTTCCTCCATGCAGGGTCACGCACAAGTAATGCACCCCCAGCAAACCAATTGAACAATTGCCACGCGTGAGAGTATGTATTTGTACTATTTTTAATTATAATATATATAATATATATATATCTGGACTGATGACATTCCGGAGGCCATGCTTTCAACGCTTTCACGTTCTAAGCTGACAACGTGCCTTCAGCTGAAAGACATGAGTGCCCATGGCAAAACACGTCCCTGTTGCGTGAGGAGGCGTCGAGAATAGCCTTTAGAGCGTGACAGAATGACAGGAATAGGGCCTTAGGGGAGAATGATGAACTGCAGTGGTTCTTGATGTTCTTGCATCGATCCTCACGCGTGAAAAAGACTTTGCACGCAATTTAACATAATATACAACCAAGTTTGCACTGTCGTTGGTATGACCCCCCCTCCGCCCACCTTCAACGTCATGATTTAATGTGTCTTCTTTGTCTTCTGTTCGGCCACATCTAATCACTGACTCTATGTCATGACTTTTGCATCCATCACTGATTGATCCAAATCAGTTTAACTTGCTCAATTAGTCTGGCTTTCTCAGGTTCTTCACCTTGCTGTTGCTCCTGCTCTTCACCTATGTCTTCTCTGTGGCCTTTGTGCAGTTCAGCCGCGACACCAACCTGGAAGACCCTCTCTTCTTTGGCTCCATGGGCCGCCTGGCGAGAGGTCCCCTATGTATATATATATATATTAACAGAGAGAGAGAGTATCACTTCTGGAGAGAGAGAGAGAGAGTCACTTCTGGACAGGTTGTTTTTCACTCGTTATTTTTTTCCTGGAGGGCATTGGACATGGGAGAAGAACTCGAAAATTGGATGAAGAAGATGACCCCCCACCGGCCCCCCCTAAGCTTCCCTTATTGGCCACCTACCGCACCCGTATGCCAATCATTGCCACCCCTGTGCCACACACGCAACCCAAACGAGGTCATGCAGTGACGACCTTGATCCTTCGCTGCATCCTGACGGATCAGGAATCCCTGATTCGCCAGGTCGCCGAGGACGGCGACCGCCATCCAAACGGTGTCGGTGAGCACTGGCACTCATGTATAGTGGCAATCGTCACGCCACGAAAAGAGTTCGTGAGTTCGATTGAGTTCGTGTGTTCATCACTTAGTCTGCTTTTTTCATGAGACTGAGATGTTGTGTAATGTAATAGGCTCCTTGATGACTAATCCCCCCAATTCAATTGGAACTCCTCTTCATATAAGGGGGATTAATGGTCCTCAAGAGTCTACATGAATGATGTCCAATGCCTTTTTCAATCTTTTCATGCCTCGATCTCCGCGGGCTGCTGGGAGTGGGACGACTGGCCCCCGCACCCCCTGCAGGAGAGTTGGATGATGTGCCGCCTGGCGGAGACTTCCAAGTCCAGCCAAAGGCTTCACATGCTTCACCTTCTTTTAGAGGAGTTCTGCAGAGCAGGACCCAGTTCCCTACTGAACATGCCACGCACTATTCAAGAGATGGCTGCCCACCAGTCACGGGCCCCAGAATCCAGGGCATGGCCGCGGGATAGGGGACCATCCAAGAAGACTGGCTAGATCTGGCTAGATACCCCCAAAGCCCAATGCAACTTTGGCCCTGCATGTGTTAAAACTCATAGAACATCTTGTTGGCTGGTGTTAGGTCTTGTTGGACGTCTCGTTCTTCCAATGCAATTTGGGAAGATGTTAGAACATGATAGAACATCTCACCACATGTTCTGATTTGGATTTGTTGGGGCCGCAGCCAGAATCAGCAGACATCTTTGGGTGCGTCGCCCTCAAGCCCACGGCACCATAAAGCCGGGGCACCCATCACCCATCCAATCTCCCTCTCGCCACTCTCGCCCAATCCCCCCAAATCCATCCGATCTGGGCGCGTCTCGTGGGCGCGTGTGGCCTCTGTCTTTGAGTCAAGGCATTTTGCTCTTGACCTTCATTTTGTTTGGCTCCCTGACGGTGATGAACATGCTTTTAGGGGTGCTGGTCGAGGCCGACCAAACGCACGGTTGGACCAAACGCAGCTCCCGAGTCGGGTCGGGCGGAAGTTGGAAGAGATGTCCAACCAGCGAGTGGAACCGGAGGGACATGTCATGTGAGGAGAAGACAGGCGAAGAGGTGGGAAGACATTCATTTTTAGTTGGGGCGATCTATGATCAGGAGCAGTCACTTCGTGCACATGACCAGTAATCTATCCATTCAGGGTTCTTGATCAGTTCCTGATCAACAAGTGTAACATGTTTGGGTCCAGTTCAAAAACCAGCATGCTATATACGTATGCCATGTAGTTGGAAAAAGAACACCGTGCATCTCAGATGGGTACGTCGTGAGGGACGTCTTTCACTCGGTCAATGTACGTTTTTCCGACCGTTGGACACAGCGATGTTCGACCTCAAGACGGAGCGTAGAGGCCATCAAGACAGTGTCGACCATCGAGCGCGAGCAATTGGAAGTGGACTTTGCCAAGCGAGTGCTGTGGGACCTCATCGACAAAGGCGCTGTGCTAAACGCACACCGTTGGAACCCCTGGGAGTCAGTGGTTTCAGAGGTTCGATGGCACAGACGTTGCTCCGAGACATGTATCGGGTTATGCCTTATCGTAGGTCCACATGTTTGGGGAACTCTCCACCGTCACTGGATCTTCAAGGTGTTTTTTTGGTTTTTTGGTTCGCGCCGCTGGGAAATGTTGGTTCGGTCAGCTCACCTGGCAGATTTTGTTGGTCAGTTGTGAAGTTCTCAAACCGGCCGACTGTTGCGAGACCGTCGCAAAGATATGCCAACCAAAAGAAGTATAAGAAGTCAAATAAAGAATCCAAGAATTGGCAAAGATCTATTTCCAGGGCAAAGGGGTGGACGTCTTGTTCTCCAAGGGGTGGCTGGTCTCAAGTCTCAACCCCGCCACCGGGTCGTCTCTTGACGATTGAGAAAACAACCTCATCCCAACGCTGTCACCCGCAGACGGCCTCGCGAAGACGCTGCAGGGGAGGCTGACACCGATGGTGACAATTGCATTTCAGAGGATGAACCTTGGACCCGCTTCCGTTGGGACTCAATTCGTCGCGAGTGTTATTCAGCCGAAAGAAGGGCGGCGATCGGCGCACCCAGGTGATTTCAACGATTTTTGCGTGGCTTCCGCACATCATGAAGGGTTCTATGATGATGGTGCCTGTTGCAAGTCAGAGCATGTTCACTCAGAGCTTCAAAAAATATGTTCCTAGAATTCATGAATTCATGCAGGATCCCTCATGCGGATTTCTCAGCTTCATGGAACTGCGGAGAAAGATCAGCTCAAGCATGGTACCCAAGCTAAGTGCTAATAATTGTTAACATAATTGTTAATGAATTAATAGTGTTTAACTATAATTACATCCTGTGCCTTTCAACCCCCCCGGCGCGGTGGACAGAAACAGCTCCGGGATGTTCCGCAAGAGATCGTCCTTGAAGGAACTGTTTCACAAGTTGACCCGTTAAGCGTTGCACGCGATTCCTCACCCTCCATGCCCAGGAGTACATGGCTGTGCTGCAAAAACCTGAGGCTCGCCCATCGCCGCAGGGATGATGGAGGATGACATGTTATGACACATGCTCGAACATTGAGCACATAATATATTGGCAACTACTACTAGCAAGACTGCCGATCAATTGCACGAGTGCGAGTTCTGGGAATTTTGGATCATGTCAGGTCATCCGAGTTGTCAAAAAATGCCTCTCCTATGCCGGAGTCCAAAAATCTGGCCGATTCCGAACTGGAATCCTCCACAACGCAGCCTTCAAACCCTTCAAATGACCATTGAACAGAATGGGTTGACCTGGATTTGGTAGTCCAAAGATGTCTAAAATCAAACACAAATACATGCATGTAAGAGAAGTAATGCTTGTTTGGTCAAAGGCCAATGGTCCGTTGGATGTTCTTGGACAAACCGGCAGCCGTACGTCTCGCCGCATCCGCACGTCTCGGGTCGCTTTCGAGGCCATGACGGCGCTCACGAGTTTGGGTGTTGATGTGGATGCCGCCCTGGATTATGGCCACTTTGAAGTCATTTGGGGAGGAAGCGGCGGTTGGGGAGGGAAAACACGAGAGGTGTTGGAAACAAAACAGGTGTCAGGATCTTTTTCCGGACAAGTCTTCAAGAAGGGTAGCCGGTTGGTTCCAGATGACCACATATTATGACCACTTGTTGTTTTTCTCGTTAACTTGACCACATGTTGCCGTGCATGACAAGCAACAATAACATCATCCTTCTTGTTTTTTGTTCGCCATTGCAATTGGCAGAGGGCGCCAACCATCCGCAAACTACACGTGTTTTTTTTCCCTCACCTCAGCTGTTTGCTGTTCCTCATCTCCAGGCAAGCTGCTCTTCGAGGATGGCGAGCCATTGACCTTTGGAGACTTTATGAAAGGCATCTTAACCTTGAGAGGCTCAAATCAGACCACGGTCAAGGACCAGGGCGCACCGAGCCGGCTTGGGTTGCGGAGGGACTTCCGAGGGTTGGGCGACCCATATGCGGGCGGCTTGCGTGAAATGCAGCCTGAAGTGAAGCGGTTGGGTATGTGACACGTTGACTCCGAAGGCGGACTGAAGCCGGCGGACTGAGGCTGATCTGGCCCAATAATTGCAGGCTCTTTTGATGAATAACCACCCCCGTGCAAAGTTGTTCAATTCAATTGGGGGGGTTATTATATAACTTAGAACCCCAGCAGCGCCGCGAAAGTCATGCAGGACATTGTGGACCTTCGAAAGTTCACCGCCGACGAGTTCTCACACCTCCACGAAATTCTGGAGGTCGGTCCCAGTGGGCACTTGTTACTACTAGCTTCTTGTTACTACTAGTAAGGCACCTGTTACTACTAGCGTGGCACTTGTTACTACTAGCTTCTTGTTACTACTAGTAAGGCACCTGTTACTAC